ATGCTAGTAGATGAACCTGAATAATTTTTATAACAAACATGTTTGGGTACTTCAGATTTTTTATTTGTATATCGTTGACATATGCAGCAGTATTTATTTTTAATACCAAGATATAATATTTTGCCTGTTTTTGCTCCTACAATTGCTGCAGCTCCAGATAAAGAATTATAATTTCCGCCGCTCCTGTAGGATCTTTTTGCCCAACTACCATCACATACAACTGTTATCATAGCTGTTCCATCTTTATCGACTTGACCATTCTCAATGGCTAGTTCTCTTTCCTCCGCAGCTGCTGTCGCCATTGTTTCCCAAGCAGTTTCTTCCCATGCGTTGCAAACCTCATCATGAAGTTTCTGGTATAAACCTAACCCAAATGTTGGAGTGTTCATTGCATTGCTAAAATTTTTTATCTGGCTATATCCACCTCCTACATTCATAATTCCTGCTACCGCAGAAATGTTAATATTAACAGAGTCAGGTTCGTTAGGACATGAATATATATAATTACTGTAACCACACATATCACACTCTACTCTAAATTTTGACTGAAATCCAGTTCGATATTTTTTAATAAAATGTACATTATTTAAATTACATCCAAGTTCTGGCGAATGGTATGCAACTGTCTTCAGCTGCTCTAATAACTTTTGAAAGTTTACAATCCTGTAGCCCTCGATTATTATGTCTCTGTAAAAGATAAAATTGAAGTATATATATACAGGGTGGCTCACGCTCAACGGGACGGAGCTTTATGGGAAAACGACCTGCACGTCTGGCTCTAAAGAAAAAAGATACACATAAAGTAACTGTGACATTTCTACATTAAATTGTAAATATTTTCTCTTAGAATACAGATATTAATTGGTCGGATTAAAATGCTTTTAAATTTAGTTTCTTTATAATCACAGAGTAAAGCCAAAAATACTTTTAATTTTTTCTCTTTTCGCAATATAGGTTTGTAAACCAAAATAACTCTTAATAAACTAATTCAAAATAAGCGGAAATAAATTGGTACTCAGATACTTACAAATTATATTTTTCAAGATTTCTATGCTTCTTTCTCTTCGCACTTAAAAAAAGTCCTGTTTTTTTACTTATTCTGAGATCTCTTTCCATATTTTGCTTGTCTTTTTCACTAATTAACACTACAAAAATCACCGTAACAACAATAAAAAACTACCTTCACTTGTGTCTCAAATGCCGTACGTAGATGTACTAAACAACAGCGAACTGAGAGTACATTGTGAGTACATTCAAAACAAGTCAATACTTGAATGGAACACGTGTGTATCTAGGGAGGAGGTACATATGACTTACGGAAAATCGCAGCCTAATTTCTTCTTTCTCATGTGTATTAATTGGGAGAACTCAAATGGTATATTTCAAGTAGCGAGCCAAGTCTGCATTTCAACTAAACGCTATTAACTATTCTAAAAATATCTCGATTTTTGTGATAAAACAATAGGCAAAAATACAATTTGAACGAATTCCACAATAATTACATAAAATCAATTTTGTTTTAGCATCACAAAATAGTATAAAAGGCAATTTCTTTATTAAAAACTAGAATAACTATTTACTATTTATAAATCTGAACTCCGGTCCTGCAACGCCAGCGTGTGTCAAGAGAGACAAGGAGGGACACAATATAACCGAAATGAATGATTGATGCCGGTTAAATTTAAATTTTATGCAGAGGTCGACAATTAATCTAGTATTTTTCTTAAATTTCGACTAATTATGACAAATTTTGTACCAAATAAAAGATAAAGAATAGACTTTACCTCGGGTAATAATAGATTTTTGAATTTTGTCTTAGTTTGTCCTGGATGCATTTTTAAATCTTAACAAAGAAAACCATTTAATTGGAAAATTTCAGACTCGTTTAAGATACTAAAAAAATTCTAATCTAATTTTTTATTACTACTCAAGGAAAGACCTGACCTTTTGCATATTGGAGGTTTTTAATTGACAATGATATCTTATACAGTTTTCGAGAAAACAGATTAATCAGGCACCTATGCAGGATAGGGCGATTAACCAAGCGGTAGCCGACTCTTAAGCTCAATCACGTAGCGCGTGGCAAACAATAATAAAATATAGAACAGCGTAATACTGATAAACATTTGATAGTTTAATGACTTTGGTCATAATTCAGCCGTCTAATATCAAATGTAGCAGTCAACTTTTCTAAATTTTCCACTACACAACAAAAACTATTTAAAATATATTAGAACATTACATAAAATTACTGTTTTGGCTTATAAGTGTGTAAATAAATTATTTTATGTTAATTGGAGTCAAAATCGCCGTAGGATTTTGAATATTTTAAATTGGCTATATATATTGGAGTTTGCAGTATTTGATATTTAAGGTTGGAGTTTACTTTATATGATTTGTTCATGAAAGGAGTTTGTTGTTTATGATAGTAAACTGGGGTGTGAAAATATCCAGGACTGTATTGAATACAAACACAGTTCCGCTCACTAATTAATACTGTGATTAATAGAATCTAAAAACAAATGTTTTTCATATTGTCAATAAACAATGTGTCCCTGGGCGCCGACCAAAAAATTGCTGGGGGGCAAGTCTTATAGGCAAGTTCAAAATGCCGCAGGCTATAGATGAAAGCCATAGCAAAAAATCCAAAATTGGAAATTCAGAGCGCTTGCCCTCGTGTGGCGGCGCCTATGAATGTGTCTCTTAAAGTTGACCACAAATGAGAAACTTGTATTATTAGTGCAAGCAAGAAACTAAAATAACAACGTTGCCAGTAAACGGCCGCCTGGCTGCGTGGGGATAACTCTCGAGTATGCACCGTTGACCGTTTGTATGTGTTGTGTTATCTGTCTGCGCTCTGTGCTGTGAATTAAGAATAGGCACACAACAACAGATATACCCACAATCCCAACGCAGCCAGGCCGTTGGAAACGTTAATATTATTCGTTTCCTTCTCGAACGAATGCGAAGTCTGCGTAGTTTTCACTTCGACATTAACACACCGTATTAGAGGGTTTTCAATAGCCGATACTGTATATGAATAAATAAATAAATATATATATATATACAGAGTTGCGCGAAAGTCCGGAATAAAATTAGTAACTGTTCAACAAGTAACTTAAAAAAAAAAACTCTGAAACACCTGAATTGATTTTACATTGGACGTATTTGTTGCCAATAAAATAAAATTTTCTTCTTCAACCCCTTAGCTGCAACCCTACCCAACTTTTTTTTCGAATGCCAAGGTATTTCGTGTGTAGGTCATTGAAAAGCTCGTAAAAAATGGGATCTCCACCATACCCTATTTTTTTTATTTTACTTATGTGGTTATTGGGAAATGAGAAAAATCTTTTAAAAACAAAAAAGTCACAAATAGGGTATAGTGAAATTAAATTTTTCCCTACAAACGACATATCTTTGCATTTGAATGTACTTAATGTAGGAATTTATATGTGTTTCTTATTGTGGATATAGATCGATATACTAATTGCGTTCCTGGAAAAAATGTTGCTTATCTCAATCATTTGGCCTTATTTGCTTTCCAATTTTTGGTATTTCTAACATACTTTCTTGCGGGTTTTTTTACTACAGGAGGACAAGAGACCTCCATTTTATGAATTTTCACTAAAGACTTCCTATTATTTTGTTATTATACAGTGAGCATCTTAAGTCTTACCCCCCCCCCCCCCCCCCTAACTAACTCGTTACTGGGGTCTTGTTAGGAAAATCGCCGAGACAGGTCGATTTTTAATTTCTACAATGTACATTTTTGCATGATTAGTTAACCCTTAATTTCATCCCTTACTGGAGGGTAAAAACCCTTTCGAAAAATTTAAATGGCATGGGGTGGTGAGTGATAGCTCATTTGAAAGGGGGTTTTATTTTCTATTCAACCGTGCAAAAAAATTTTGAAATTTGCATCATTACATGTTGATTTATTAATGTTTAAAAATAACAAAACCTCACAAAATAGGAAAGCAACTAGACTAACAGTGACCTTCTAATGGCAAAAAGTCTTACTTCACGTCTGAACCAAAACCGAAGTCATGCAGGGCCCAATTTTAATTCTAAGGATGAGTGCGCTACGTTAATTTCCGTTATTCTGAAACAACAATTAGTCGAGAATTAATGAAGCAAATTTCAAATTTTTTTACACGGTTGAATAGAGAATAAAACCCTCTTTCAAATGAGCTATCACTCACCACCCCATGCCATTTAAATTTTTCGAAAGGGTTGATCCCCTCCAGTAAGGGATGAAATTAAGGGTAAACTATTCATACAAAAATGTACATTGTAGAAATCAAAAATCGATCTGTCTCGGCGATTTTCCTAACAAGACTCCAGTAACGAGTTAGATAGGGGGGGTAAGACTTATGGTGCTCACTGTATACTAAAAAACAGTAATTAACTATGCACGTGTTGTTACAAACTGACTACAGCTACCATATTGGTTTAATTACTTGTTACTGGCTAAAAGTGACTTTGCTACTTTTGTTATGCCAAATCTGGAGATTGCTGTTTCTGATACAAACTTACAACTTTACTGAATGGTTTTAACGGCTATTTCCGTTTTTGTTACAAAGATGTGATATTTTAATAAACAAACATTCCAAACCGGTACGACACAAAAAGCTTCAATCGGAAAATTTGGAGTTTGCTGCTTTTGATATTAGACCCCTGAATTATCCCTTACCTTATCATATTTATCTATTGTCTGTTTTAAATAAAATTGATTTACATTCGACTCATTTCTACTGCATTTCCAACAGTTCTCAATAATGTTCTCGCGATGTATCTCACAAATGAAGGGAGCTATTTAAGATTTGATTGAGCAATTGTTACTTGAACAAAAAAAAAGTCATGACATCTTATCAACTTTTTTCAATCTCCTCTAGTTTTCAGGATACCCCGCAAAATATCAATTTGAGACATCCTGTACATGTATTTCAAAATATGGTAATACATTAAATATGTAAAATTTAAAACTAAAGAACAGGTTAAATAAAACATTTTCTAATAAATAAAGCATTTATTAATAATTAGTATATTCCTTCGTAATTTCACTTAAATTATAACTAAAATCTACCCAGCACATTGATCTTCCTCTAAAGCAATGTCATGATGCGTCAAAACATGTATCCCGTCTTCAGTAACTACTTCCGCATGCACTATATTCGTTTCCAAATCCGAATCCAGTTCGCTACCTAAATGTTCCATCACTCCCAAATTAGTTACTAAAGTTGTGGTCAAATTATTTTCAAATTTATCCTGCATATCGTCATCCTTCAAACCCATCTCCATTGATATATTGTTTCCCAAATTATCTTCCATATTGGTATCCAAATTCGCATCCATATTGTTGACTAACTTGATGATATCTCCAGAACCTACGTGAAGCCTCATGTGCTTTCTCAAACTTGCATTCAAAGAGAACGTCCGACTACAAATTACACAATTGTAAGGTCTTTCGCCTGAATGCGTTCTTAAGTGAACCTGGAATTAAAAAAAATTATGATTTAAGATGTATATGGGATGAATCCAAACAAAATTGTCAAAAAACCATAAAATATTTTAATAGAATGGTTATTTCTATGGCAAACTATCTTTTTTTCTTCCATTTAAGGTTGAGAGACGTCCCCAATGTATCTATCTTTGTAATTCGAGCACAGTGTGTTAATTTGTTTTCATTTGTCGTGGTGACATCGCTACTGCATGTACAGGGTTTTTCATTATATTTTGACTGCTACTTATTCTCATTATTATTGCGAACACAAAAAAAGTTTAAGTTAAAAGCTTTGTTGTTTTACCTGTACCGACAAAAAATGTTATAACTGGCAAAATTGTATAAAGGGCGCCTCCAACAAAATATAATTTCATTTTTTTAATGGACACCCTATATATTATTGTCATTTTAAGTAGACTTGCATTTCCTGATTACAAATATATAATAGTTTAATTATTTAGTGACTTATTGCACTATGAAAGTGTAACACATAGATGCCTATGAAAATGATGTTTCCAAGTGAAACAGTTGTTTGTTTATTAAAAGTGATCAATTGATTGCTAGTTATGGGTTATACTGTAACCAAAAAAGTTGAGGTAAAACAACAAAGCTTTTATTTTAAACTTTTTTTGTGTTCACAAGAATAATGAAAATAAGTAGTGGTCAAAATATAATGAAAAACCCTGTACGTTTGATAAAAACATACGTTTTCATCTATTTCAAATCATTTTTCATAGTTAGAAGTGCTTTTTAAGTTCAGATTGATTAGTTTTTGAAAGTCCCTCATATAGTTTGCAAAAAGGTAAGATGTTTTATGTTAAATTTTAACCATGAACGTTTTTGTGAACAGTGGCCATATTTTTAATATCAACAGTGGTCATTACTTTCACAATGGGTAAACTAGTGGCCACTGTTGCCTCTCAAGTGTAATGCAGAACCATTATTTATATCATTTCAGATAAAAATAGAGTAGCAACAATCAAAAAGAATCAAGATTGGTAAAGTCAGTGCAGTAGCTATGAGAAATGCGGTTTATGACATTGAACAAGATGGCACTTCAACAAAATCAGCAGCAATGAAATACAACCTGACGGAGATATTTGAAAAAATATCATGACTCTACAAGAAAACATAAATTGGAGCAGTTTTATTTTGGAAGGCTGTCCTCATATGACTCCCAATTACTCAGTGAATAAGATATTTTCAACTGAAGAATAACAAAAATGTAATTTAATTTTAATACCATGGCTAACTTGCACCAAAATCTAACCCCCAAAACTTGTCGAAAGCTGTGGCGAACAGAAATAAAATTCCACATTCAAGGAAGAAAAATCAGACTGCTGGCAAGGACTGGTTTACCAATTTCCTTAAACGAAATAAGGACATTTCCATTAGAGCAGCTGAAGCAAACTCACTTGGGTTTCAAGTTTACTAAGTTTTTTGACAATCTAAAAAACTTTTTGAAACATAAATTTGAACCGTTTCTAGTGTACAATGTGGATGAAACCGCTTTAACAACACTGCAGAATCCTGGAGAAGTTTTAGCTACCAAGGGCCAAAAGCAGGTGGGTCAGATCATTTCCGGTGAAAGAGGAACTCTTGTTACCATGGTAGGCGCTATTGCAGGAGGTAATACAATTCCCCCACTTCTTATTTTTTCCAGAAAATATTTTAAGAAGCACATGAAAAAAAACGCTCCTTCTGATACTATAGGATCTGCTTCTCCCTCTGGATGGATCACCTCGGAAATATTTGTGGAGCGGTTTCGGCATTTGATTCGTCATGCTAAGCCTTTTGCTGACAGTCCAATCCTATTGCTTATGGATTATCTTTAAAGATGATTGAGATGGCCAGAAAAAAACCACGTCAAGTTACAAACTCTTCCTCCATATACTAGCCATAAGCTAGTCGCTTGACAAAAGCATTTATGGCCCTCTAAAGCGGTATTATAATAATCAATGCCAATCTTGGTTACTTAATAATGTCGGGAAAAGAATAACAATTTATGACATTGCAGAAATATTAGACTTTTGGATGAGAAATTGTATTTCTGGCTTTAGAGATACAGGAATTTTTCTATTTAATGACACAATATTCAGTGGACACGACTTTTTGGCCTCCAAGCCAACTGACATCCCAGGCAATAATTTGACTCAACTAAGCACAAGTAAGGACCCGTTAATCAGAAATCTCCCACAGTTTGATGATCCGACTATAACGGCAGAATCCACCACAGAACAAGTACATCAAACACCAGAGAAAAGTGTTTTGGAGAAGACTTAGATTTAACCGATAGAAAAAAGTCAAGCAACAAGAAAGAACTGAATTAGAGAGTTGAAGTGATGTTATGAACGTAAACGTATACGTGAAATTTGACATCTGCGCATGCGTCTTAAATATATCCTTCACGTATACATCTACGTACATACGTAAACTTACGGGCTCTGGCGTAATTATTTAAGTTATCAGTATAAATTAATAGAAGATATACTGGGTTGGCCATTATTCCAAAATTAAGCAAGATTATACTTTTCTGTACTCTATTACACTTAAAATAAAACCATTAAAACTGCATTGTGCTAACTATTAGCTCGATTACAGGGTGTACTATTAAAAAAATATCCTTGCGTTATTTTGGAGTAATAATACGCCGAGTATATGTCTAACTGACTTATACCAATATAACTTGATTTATTTCGTCAAACTTTTATCCAAAACGCTTTTTGCAAATCTATTAGAATTCAAAAAATAAAAGTCGGGCGCGCGAATTTCGAAACGTCGACCGAGCGTTCCATTTTCCCACCTATATCATAAGAGCAAGTTACGCTCGTCCCAATCACGTCCTAACCACTACAGAAGACAGCGAGTGAAATCAATGAGATGTAAAAAGACCGTTGGTGGCACGAGTGTAGTTCTTATGGTGTATGGGTCAAAAGGGCGCGCCCAGCCGACAATTCGAAATTCGCGCGCGCGAATTTCGAAATGTCAGCCGGGCGCGCTCGCTTCTTCCTTTAGTAGTAAATTCGTTTTTAGCAGAAGCGTAGCTGACTCGTATGGTGTAGGTGTAAAAAGGGCGCGCTCGCTCCTTTTAGTAGTAAGGCCGTTGTTAAGACAAGCGTAGCTGACTCTTATGGTGTAAGTGTAAAAAGGGTACGCACGACCGACGTTTCGAAATTCGAACACGCGAATTTCGAAATATCAGCCGTGCGCGCTCGCTTCGTTCGTCCGTTCCTCTAGTGATGAGACCATTGGTGGGATGAGCGTAGCTGACTCTTATGGTGTAGGTGTAAAAAGGACGCGCTTGCTTCGCTTGCTCCTTCCTTTAATAGTAGGGCCGTTGTTGAGACAAACGTAGCTGACTCTTATTGTGTAGATGTAAAAAGGGCGTGCACCGCCGGCGACGTTTCAAAATTCGCAAGCGCGAATATCAAAACATCAGGCGCGTTCTTCCTTCTTCTAGTGGTAAGACCGTTGTTGGGGACAAGTGTAGCTGATTATTATGGTAAAGGTGTGAAAAGAACACCCTCGCTTCGCTCGCTCTTTCATCTAGTGGTAATCCTGTTGATAGAACATGCACAGCTTGCTCTTATGGTTTAGGTGAAAAAAGGGGGCACTAGCTTCGTCCGCTCCTGCCTCTAGGGGTAAGGCCGTTGGTGAAAGTGTAAAAAGGGTACGCACAAATTTCAAAACATTGATCAAGCGTGCTCGCTTCTAAGGTAGTTGGGACGTGGTACGAAGAATGTGCTTTTATGGTGTAGGTATGTCAGGCAACGTTTTTGTTGTTTATGAAATAAATCAAGTCATCAATGTAAGTCAGTTAGAAATATATCGAGTGCACCATTACTCTAAAATAACGAATGGATGGCTAATGGCTAATAAAGTAAGCACAATGTTGTTTTAACGGTTTTATTTTAAATTTAATTTAGTACGAAAAACTATTTAAAAAATATATTCTTTTGTAATTTATGAATATTGGTCAACTTAGTATATTTCTTATTAAGCACGACGGCGTAAATATTATTAACTTATACTGATAACTTGATTTATTTCATGAAACTTTCATCAAAACTTTTTTGTAAACTTATCAGGAATATACATATTAATAAGTTATGTTACTTTTTGTTCACTCCGTAAATAAATTTAGACTTTCTTAAATATAATTTCATTGAAAAGATGTTTAGCAAACATGGCCATAGTATTTAAATTTATTGCCTTCTATTTACCTATTTATTTACTTCTATAATTTTCAGATGAGATAAATTTTCTCCCTGCTAAAATGATCTTTTGAATATCTGAAATATGTTTTATATTAAAAATAAAATAAAACCTAATTTAAAAATAAGGTGCATTGACGTACGTTTTAAATGGGACGGCTGAAAGTTTTCAGGGGTGACGTCACGCCGCGCCGAATGAATTCGGCTATCCTCTATAGATTATACAGTCATTGGTTTATTTGAAAATAATCGATTATTTAAAATAAACGATTATTTAAAATAAACGATAATTCTTTTTTTATTATATTTTGTAAACACTGATTTATCGGTTAATTGGCTTTTTAATTAATCGATTATTTTTGATTTTTCAAAGATAATCAAGTAGTCGATTTTAAAATGTTATCTGGTTTCAGACATATGCATTTCTAGAGTTTTATGTGACTCATCCTTTATAATAATTAATATTCCTAAAGAAAGAAGCCTTAACATTATTATTATGTAATAGCCGTAGATAAAATATAATGTTCAACTCATAAGGTTAGATTTGCAGTATTCGCCTGCGCACATGCTATTTTTATAATACTCGTAGACTATGAGTAACATGTTTTGCTCTATCAATAATATATTCTATTTCAACATTTTACTGTAATCTCTTGCAGAAAAGTCCGTAGTAAATAAACGCTAACGAAATATTCTATAAAAGGTCTTCTCTTTACATAAAATGTCATGGAATCTGTTTGATATTAAAAAATCACGTTAATTTTATTTCATAATACAAAATTCGATTAAATACCTTTTAAATAAATTTAATAGTTCATTATGATGCTAATAAACAAAGTCCGGTCCCTGCCACAGAGTTCGGGTCGCCGCCCAGTTCCTCCACTCCGTTAACCTTTCTTTAGAAATTGGCAACATTTGCGCAGGTTAAACACCGGTGTATGTTATATCTCTGGTCTCTTTTATCTAAGGGTACAACATACAGTTTAAGTATACATATATCAAACCGATGTTATGTGCTGAATTGGTGTAGTGGTTAGGGTTTCGGGCTCATAACGCAAAGATCTTAGGTTCAAACCCGGGCATCGGCGGTAAGTATACCTGGCTTTTTTTTCAATTTATATTTCTGTGCGACAATATAAACTTCTCGCACTCGCATCTTCTCGCACGCTTGTAGAAAAAGTAAATTTAACTAACGTTTGTTTCCACGTTTTTTAACATTAATGTCTTAAAATTTGAACACATGCTTTAAATGTGGTAGTGCTCGATATAGTTTGTACTTGCTTGAGTTATTTTATCCTAATGTCAAACCTATGTAAAAACAACTTGACTGACCTTCAAATGTGTCGTCTGGCTAAACCTCTTCAAACAAATGTGACACTCGTGCCTTCTTTCCCCAAAATGTACTCTCATATGTCTAGAAGCCCCGTTGGAATAAGGAAAACTCTTCCCGCAGATAGTGCACAAAAATGGCGTCTTCTTCGATTTTTCACCGGGTTTTGCATTATGGCTGCGCATGTGTTTGTGCCTTGAAGACGATCTAAAATAATATTAATAATACATTTTACTGATGGGATGTAAAACGCAATTATTTTTTTTTTGTTTCCAATAAAATACATACAACCCTTTTTACCTTTGGAATGTTTTGCCGCAAATATTACAACTATAGTTGCGCTCCCCTGTATGGGATGCCATGTGCTCTCTTAGATGGTAAGCTTTTTTAAACTCTCTGTTACATAAACTACAGAGAAAAAGTTTTGAGCTGATATTCGGACATCTGTAAAATAAATGTTTAGTCAATGTTTAGTATACTGTCGTCCTAAAAACAGATGCCTTATCTACAAAAAAACAGATTTTGAGATTTTTGCATCAATGAGTTCGTGGTAAGTTAAATTAATGTTTTTTTAAGCAGAAATGCCGTATATGTTTCCGAAATATTAAAAATGCAATATAATAATTAGCCATATCTGCAAAATTCAAAATTAGTTTTATATCCTATGAAAATACCCAGTATGTGTGCATAATATCAATAATACATTCCGTATCTACATCCGCTCCTATGTAGATGTGGCTTTTCCACTTAGGACTAGGGGTGAGCACAATAAACAAACGATTAGTCATCGATTATTCAATTTTCTTAGAAAAATCGAAAAATGAAAATAAACGATCAATGAAATAATCCAAAATAATCGATTATTTATTTTAATAATCGATTAATTATTTTGATAATCGCCCCCAGTCTTACTGATAATTCGATATTATAAAACGATAGTTTGATTACCTTATTAATATCTGTAATTGAATTAGATATTTACTAATAATCGACAAATTAATAACAATCGAATATAAGATTAAAAATCAATTAAATAATATCGATTATCGATTCATTTAACGATTAATCAAAAAAATCGATCTCTCAATTAAACGAATAAATGAAAACGATTGATTAATCGAAAAGAGTCGATTAATCGAAAATAATCGATTAAACGATTAATAATCGATTTAACGATCAGTAATCGATTAAACAATCAGTAATCGATTAAACAATTAGTAATCGATTATTCGATTTTTTAAAAAATTGATAATCGATCAATAATTGAAAATAATCGATAAAATAATTGAAAATAATTGACTTATCGATTAATCGAAAATAATCGATTATTTATTTTGATAATCGCCCAACTCTATGGATAATTCGATATTATAAAACGATCCTTTGATTACCTTATTAATATGCGTTATTGAATTAGATATTTACTGATAAATTAATAACAATAGAATATAAGATTAAAAATCAAATAATATCGATATATCGATTAGTTTAACGATTAATCGAAAAATCGCTCTAGTTTAATCGAATAATCGAAAACGACTGATTGATCAAAAATAGTCGATTCATCGAAAATAATCGATATTATTCGATATTTTTTTAATCGATTAATCTAAAATCAATTATTTATTTTGATAATTGATTAATTATTTTGATAATCGCCCAATCTTATCGATAATTCAATATTATAAAACGATAGTTTGATTAACTTATTAATGTGTGTAATTGAATTAGATATTTACTTATAATCGAAAAATTAATCACAATCCAATATAAGATTATAAATAAATTCAATAATATCGATATATCGATTAATTTAGCGATTAATCGAAAAAATCGATCTTACGATTAATCGAAAACAATTGATTAATCTAAAATAGTCAATTGAAGTAAAATAATCGATTAAATGATTAGTAATCTAATAAACGATCATTAATAGAATAAACGGTTAATAATCGAATAAACGATTAATAATCGAGTATTCGATTTGTTTTAGAAAAATGGAGAATAAAAAATAATCGAAGATAACCGACAATCGATTAGTTATTTTGATAGTCAATTAATTATTTTGAAAATCGCCCAATCGGATAATTCGATATTATAAAACGGTCGTTTGATTAACTTATTAATATCTGTAATTGAATTAGATATTCACTAATAAATGATTAAATTAATAACAATCGAATATAAAATTAAAACTCAAATAATATCGGTATATCGATTAATCTAATAATTAATCGAAAACAGTTGATTAAGGAAAAATTGTCGATGAATCGAAAATAGTCGTTTAATCAAAAATAATCGATTAACTGAATAATCGAAAAATTAAATAACCGATTAACCGGAAATAAGCCATTATTTTCAATTAATCGATTAACCGGAAATGATCGATTATTTTCAATTATTCGATTATTTTAAATAACTGATTTAAAAAAAATAAAAATCGATTTGTCAAAAATAATCGATTAATTAATTTTATCCATGACAGTTTTACACATGTAAATTACATAGAAGCTTATTGGAAACATTTTGGAATGAATAATTGTAAGTTTCTTATATTTGAATTTTTTTGAAAAAGTTGTTTATTTTAATAACTTCTATACGAGTTAAAAAACATTTTTATTATTGGTTTTATCAAAAAAATGTATTTTTCATAAAAAATTGTGAATGGTCTAAAATCTATAATACAACCAACAGATCAAATTTTGTGAATCTCGTATACGAGGTTTGTCAAAAAATTATTTTTGGTAAATAGTAAAAAACATTCATGTTTGACAAACATCTTACATGACTCATAAAATTTGACTGTTGTATATTCGGTTTTAGGCCATGTATAATTTTATTATGAAGAATACATTTTTTCCTAAATTTAATAATAAAAAAAGTTTTCCATATGTAGCCAACTATTTACCTAAGTTATTCTGCATAAAAAGTTGTTCATAACTTAAAACCTAAAATTTAATAATCTGATATCAAATTTTATCAGTCGTAAAGGAGGTTTGTCAAAAATAAAGGTACTTAAAATTTACATTTTTTGACGCACCTCGTATATGGCTCAAAAAATTTAATGTCTGATCGTTGAATTTAAGGTTTTAGACTATACGAAACTTTTTATAAATTATATATTTTTTTTGATGAAACTATCAATATATAACCCAACTTACGTATACTTATATATTAAACGAATATATTAATATGGAAACATCCTGTACAAAAAATAATAATAAATAAAATACTCATATTTTTTACTTTATTTTCCAGTTTTATATTCTAAATAACTATTTTCTCATCTTCTATATACTTCAATATTTAATGTATAATCTTTCTAATGTATGGATTTTGTGCATTTTATCTTCATTAATTTTTCTTTTCCATCTCAAAATATCGTTTACATTTTTTCTTTAAATCCTTCTTCCCATTTCATATATTTTTTTCATTTTCTCATTATACATTTTGTTAGTTTAAATACGTCATTATTATTTATATCACATTCCACATTCATTATATCACATTATTCACTATTGTGTCTTATTAATTCACTATTATACCACATTAATTCACTTTATTTATTATTAAACAATTTATTATACAATTCATCTATTCTCCATCATTTTATTCCATTGAACTATTCATTCCCTTTATACCGTTACTTTTCTACAAACTTTTTTCTAAATTACTCTTCATATGCACAAAATCTTTGTTTTTTAAATCAAACTATAAATACAATTTTTTTGCTCTATTTTCCTAGCTATTATTACGATATTGTCTTCTTTTTTACACTATGTCCACTTTCACACTTACGGCCAATCTATTTCTATTTTATTCACTTTATTCAATCTCCGAGGTCCAGACTAGTTTTAAAATTCTTAATTTCCGTCTCCCATCTAAATTTTATTACTTTTCTTTCAGCCTCTTTCCTTTTCCTGTCAATCTTCTATTCTTCATTATCTTCCCCAATTCTTCCCTATACATATTTAATTTTCGTTTTCATTTGTCTTATATCTTCAACGTTTTCTTTAACACTAACTTTATTTATTAGATTTTTATTTTTCTCATCCTTCCTTTATTTTGTTTCCTTCTTTCTCTATCTTTTTTCTTGCTTTCCTTATGAATTATATTCCATTTTTTTATTTTATTTTTCTGATCTTGTTCTCTACTTTCCATTAATGTCTTTTTCAATCTCTTTTTCTTCATTTTCTATTTTCATATCTTCTTTATTTATTTCTACATTTTTATTTTTCTTTTATTTAACTTCTTCTGATTTAAATTTGTCCTTTCCTTTTCTTTGTCTCTTCAATTTTATCAACTATTCATTCTTCAATTTTCTTTCTTCATCTTGATTTACTTCTTATATTATTTTATTTTTCTGAATCCTTATTTTATTTTACATCTGTTTTTCTATTTTTTTGCATTTTCTTTTATTTTATCTTCTCACAACTGTTTTAGATATTTTTTCTTTTTTTGTCCTATCTTGTTCTATCAACATTTCTTGTACATTTCTTCTTACCGCCGTATGCACCATTGTCCAGTTAAATCCTCTGTTAGTTAACAGTAGTATAAAAAATAACAGTGTGTTAACAGAATTTGCTATGCACCATCTGTTTACCGTCTTAAGTTAGAAATCAGACTGATACGTAAATATTACTGTATTTTTAAGTTGGCTGCCATTCGTACCTAACTTTAGGTATGTTGCGATTTATGTTTATTAGGTTAGGGATTTTTTAATTTTTTTATATTGTCATTCGTTTCTAAGTATTTTTAAGTAAGTTTCTAGTTTAAAAAATGGAGAAAGGAAAAAGAAGTGCCAATGTAACTGAGAGGGAAAAGGAATTTTTAATTTCCTTGGTACAAAAAAACTGGCACATTATCGAAAATAAAAAAACTAATGCAGTTTATAATAAACAAAAAAATGAATGCTGGGAGAAATTGGCGTGGGATTTCAACGCCAATCAAACCAGTGGTTTACGAACCGGCCTGCAATTGAGGAGTACATATGAGCAAATGAAAAAAAATGCAAAGCAACACAAAGCCCAGGACAAGGTATCTTTAAAATTATTAGTAAATTATGTTCATAGATAGAAATTTACTTTTCCTTTATCAACCCCTATGTAATAATATTACTATAATAGTTAAGAGAACTTTAAATGTTTTAGGTCGAACTACACAAAACAGGAGGTGGAAAATTTACTGAAAACACTACCTACCTTGATAGTAAAATTTTAGGGTTATTGGAGGAAAATTATTTTTCCATAGAGAATAGGTTTGATAGTAACTCGACCGTTATAGAACCTGGACCCAGCAACTATAATAAAGAAGAGGAAAATATTATTTTTATTGTAGATGAAGGTACTGGAGAAGACTCTTGTTCAATAGATACGTTCCCAGTTTCTATTAGGGCTGATTCGCCTCTGCAAAATGTGGACGAAAATAATATGAATAGTATTAATAACGATGCTCATGAAACTGTGGAACCTCCAAAAAAAAAAACAAAAGTTGGTTTCAAATATTATTAAAGCACCTGGTATAAACCAGATTCGGAGATCTCCTGCTACAAATCAGACTCTGAGATCGCCTGCTACAAATCAGACTCGGAGATCTCATGCTTCAGTTTTATTAAACAAAAAGTGTGAAGTATTAAAGAAAAAAATGGACATTTTAAACCTAGTTAAGGAAAGTGAGATAGAAACAATGAAAGGGAAAAAGTTGGATAATGAAATTAAAGAAATTGTCAAAGAAAGAAACATTATCGAATTAAAAATTAAACAAGCAGAGTATGAGAAACTCTTATTAAATCAGTGATTTAACCTTAGTTTTAGATTTTAAATATTTTATCTGTCTTTCTGTGTTATTTTTATTAGTTTTTTATTTTGTTTTTATAGTTTTGATCTCACAAAAAGTGATATTTTTTGTATTGTGTTCCTTTAGTTTATAAGTTTGTTTTGTATTTTCACTGCGATATTTTTTATTAGAATAAATGTTTTTTTTTATATATTTATTATATATTTATTATATATTATTATATATTTAAAATATGTACAGAGAATGCTGGTTTGTTATTGTTTGATTATTTTAATTGTGTTCAAATAAAAATATTTTTGTTCAGTTTAAATTAAAACTTGAGTAAAGAAAATAAATGTTTTTTAATAAGAAAATAAGACAGGTACATTTTAATTGAATTTTTTTTATTTATTGGAAAATAGTGTTTATTAAGGAGTCTCTAGTAGCTGTATTTTCATCTCGTCGTAGAGGAGGGTCATAATGCACTATCCCTATATTAGCAATGTCTGCATCTACTTCTGGCAAATCGTCTATTATATCATTTTCTTGCCTACAAAGATTATGTAAAACTGCAGTTGCTACTATAACTTCACATGCACGTTCCACTTTTATTCTCATCCCTAATGATAAGCATGGAAATCTTCGTTTCCATACTCCAAATAAACGTTCAATAGTATTTCTTGATCGAATTTGTGCAGTATTATAGCTTTGCTGAGGTTGAGTTTGAGGATCTATTAGTGGTGTTAATAAATATACCCTACAAGGATATCCACCATCTCCAATGAGAATATATGGGTAGAACTCATTATTTTCAAACCTGACTCTTATCAGAGAGTCATTAAAAATGGTTGTGTCATGGACTGAGCCAGGCCAACGAGCCACTATATCAATAATTTGTAGATTTGCATTACCAACAACTTGGGTATTAATGCTAAACCAGCCCTTTCGATTACGGTACACCTCTGCATTATTTCCTCCTGGAGATAAAATTTTTACATGGGTACAGTCTAGTGCTCCTATAACACCAGGTAACCTAGCCACACGGTAAAATGATGAAACTTCCTGACTTTTTTCTTCATCTGTTTCTGGCATTTTAATAAAACGGGGACGAAGTGCTGCTATGCTTCTTGTCACTTCATAAATAATTCTTGAGACTGTAGATTGTGAAACAAAAAACAAATCACCTATGTTGATTTCAAATGTCCCAGTGGCATAAAATCTGAGGGCTATTAAAATTTTATTTATTTTTGATACTGGTTGGTTTCTATTATTGGTGGGTTCTTCAATATCTTCCAATAAATCTGCCAGTACCCGAACTGTTTGTTTATTTAAACGAAATCTCATTTTAAAGTCTTTTTCATCAAGCTCTTCAATTAAATTATTTCTTGGCCTCACCATTCGAACTCGTGGAATTTCAACATCACTCTCCGATGATGATGATGATATTAAATCAAAATTTAACCTCTCCATACCTATTATTTAATAAAACCTTATCTAACCCTTCAAAACAAACAAGAAAAAATAAAACAGTCTGGTAAGTAAAATTAACAGGCCAAATTTGGTTTGTTACATTAACAACGCATTTAACAGATTGGTAGTCATATTTTGTAATGGTGAATACAAAATTGTCAATTTAACAGTCGGTTATGTAGTTAACTCTCTGATAACTATTAACAGAAGAATGGTGCATATGGCCGTTAGTCCAGTAACTGAAGACCTGAAAATATGCAAAGCTATCATAAAGTCGGTCCAGATTTCCTTTGTGGCTCAATTCTTAGGTCTTGAAGGTTGCTTTCAAGGGCGAATACTTTTACCAACTCTGCTGCGTCGGAAAGGGCCCAAAATGGACCCTAAAACTGGTTTCCCGCCAATATCTTCCACAATATGCAAATTAGAGAATTTTTGTTTAGATAAAAAAGAAAGATCTTATCATTATCTACAAAAATGGTTCCTATCATTTTTGTCGGGAATTCGACAGGTTTCGAGATAACCGCAATCAAAAGTCCCCTCGTTCATCCCTTGCTTTATCTCTATAGCAATGCTGATTAGCTTGTAAACGAGTGGACAAATTGTTTCAGAACTCGGTCAAAAATTGATATTTTTCGATGATTCAAAGTTCATTACAATGGGAAAACCCATAGGTATCGATCCATGTGCCTTGAAGCCCGTTATTTCCTGTCAAGAACATTGAAAAAGGGGTCAAAGTTGCGTTTTCCCACTATTTTGGACCACTTTATAGTAATTCATTCATAATTTTTTTCTTTTAATAGTTTTTTATCCCATTTTTGTTTTAAATGGGATCTTGAGATGTCTCGAATGATCTCAGAAATTTTTTCCAGTATCTTCCTGGCATTTTAAAACAAAATTGATTTGTTTATTTGCATTTTTCATACGTTTTCGGAGTTCTAGAAATCTTTGAAACAAGCAGTAATTAAAAACTCATATTTCATTATATTGTTATTCAATGCACACCATTTTAAAGCTTAGAGTGTCTACTTTTCGAATGTATTTTTTTAAAATGGATTGCATTGAATAACAATATAATGAAATATGGGTTTTTAATTACTGCTTGTTTCAGAGATTTCTAGAACTCCGAAAACGTATGAAAAATGCAAATAAACAAATCAATTTTGTTTTAAAACGCCAGGAAGATACTGGAAAAAAATTCCTGAGATCATTCGAGACATCTCAAGATCCCATTTAAAACAAAAATGGGATAAAAAAAATATAAAAAGAAAAAAATTATATGAATGAATTACTATAAAGTGGTTCAAAATAGTGGTAAAACGCAACTTTGACCCCTTTTTCAATGTTCTTGACAGGAAATAACGGGCTTCAAGGCACATGGATCGATACCTATGGGTTTTCCCATTGTAATGAACTTTGAATCATCGAAAAATATCAATTTTTGACCGAGTTCTGAAACAATTTGTCCACCCGTTTACACGCTAATCAGCATTGCTATAGAGATAAAGCAGGGGCTGAACGAGGGGGCTTTTGATTGCGGTTAGAAAATGTTTGAATTTATTTTGAAATAAATTGCTCGGCAAATTTGGAATTTATTATTTGGGTAAGACTTTTTTTATAATTTCTTTTATTTAATTGTTGATTTCGGTGTATAAATTAGATAGTTTTAAATATAAATTCTGAAAATGATAAAATAATAAAATAAAATGGATTTAAGAGGGGAAAATAAGGTTAGGTTAGAAGAGAAAGTTGAAAAGAATAAAATTGATTGGTGCCAGCAGTGGATGAAAAAAAATTAATAGTTTGAAAAAATAAATAAAAAATTAGTAGAAAATAAAAGAAATAACAAAAAAAAATATCAGTGCACGAAATGTTGCAAATGTTGATTGTATATAGGCATTTTGAAGACAACTCTCTATAAATTAGCAAGATATTCTCAATTTCATTGTTTTCATATAAACATTCTACTGAACATGAACACCCCAGTTAAATTGCATTGATTGTAAGAATGTATAATTCACAATAAAAAAATAACAATAAAAATATAAAGATAAAAACGTAAATATTTGGCTTAATTTTCGATGCACAAATCCAGGCCCTGATTTAAATTTTGCAATTCTCTTTTTTATTTTTAAACTTTTTGAAAAAAAGTTGAAAAAGATTTTTATGAACAGTTAAAAAAGTATCAACATGATTCACCCAGATAACCCAAATATAATAAAGTACATTAAAATAAAAACTAATTGTTTCATTTAGAGTTTTTATAAAATAAATATTGTACTTTTGTCAAGCCCTTTTTTTAAATTAAAATTTGTTTTATATTTATGTTGGTTAAAAAAATCACATTTGTTTTCTTTAAAAATATCTGAATATTTAAGGGCTAACAAAATAATTTCAAACTCCATTTTCTCCACTTGGTACTCTCAGTAGATACGGTATCTGTTTTTAGGACGACAGTATACTGAAAGACTACTAAATACTTTGTCGTTTGCACTTGTGCAATAATTTCCAAAACAATAAAAACAAAAGTTTAAACCTTGAAATATCTACTACATACATATTTTTATATAGAAATGGTAATGACTTAAATAGCAATTCAATCATGAAACTAATAGAAAATTATAATCCTGCTCGAAGGACCATGAAAATACATTTTAGCAATATCACCTGAAATTACTTGTAAAACTCAATATTTCTACTTGAAACAGTAAATATATCAAAATATAGAAATCAATACTCACCTTTTTATATGTTTCGACAATTTCCACTTGATGGAAAAACCTTTACCGCAATGGTCGCAATAGAACTTGCTGTCCCTATCGGCAAATTTCACTCTTTTTTGAATCGATTTTTGCTTTTTAATTTGATCACAATTATGTTTTAGCATAATGGAAGGCGACGCAAATACTTTATGGCACTTTGAACAGGTGAATTTCGCCAAACTTTCTCCATCTTCCAAATCAGAATAGTCGGAGTGATGTGGAGGATCTACAAATAAGAGTTATTTTTATAGTTTTCCACTTGAAAAAGAAAGTTGTTTTAAACTTCTTTAGGATTGCAAGAAACATTCCATAGATGTGATTATAAGTAGTAATAAATAATGTCTAGCAATTATATGAAGACTGTATCGACGGTGTTTTGACAAAAGGGCGTAAGCGACAAAATTGTCCAAATTGATATATTTACGTGAAATTTAACTTGACAGTATTCCACATCGATACCACAAAAAATAATCAATTGCCAAAAATTCGTTCCCGCCTAAATATCGTTTCAACGTTAAGAACCGCCAGACCGTCTATAAAAGAACACGTGTTTTATAAACGGGAGCTTGTAAAGTGGCAAAAATTTAAAGATAAGTCAATTATTTTGGTTCTAAAGTATACAATTGCAGGTATACAATCTAAATGTTATATTTCTTTAATAATGTCGCTAAAAAGTGCAGTGTCGCTTACGCCCTTTCGATAAATTGCAATTGAAAAGCGTGAGTGTCATTCCGCCATGAACTGTAAATGGGCTAAATATTTCTATTTAGTACAATAATACAAAAACGCTGTTCTATTATTTAACAAAACAAAATAAATGTTTTTAAATACATTCACGTTTTTTTTTAAATTGATTGTGAAAAAAAAATAACTTTAAATTTTATTTCAAAATGTCGCTTACGCCTAATGTTTTTCTAGAATGTCTCGTGGGTGACTTGTTAATTTGTTTTTTTTTTACTTTCCTGTCTATCAGGGGCGGTTTCTCCATTGGTTCATTTATGCAGTGAACACCCAGTTAAATTTCATAAAAACACATTATTTTAAAATTACATAAATAACATAAAAATATAAATTTACTTTTAATATTTTTATTGTTATGTTATGTTAATCTTTATTTTTTGGTACATCATTGTACTCTGGATGATCGCATCTCTGTGGCACAGTATACCTAAGTATACTATCTGTGGCGCACTATGATGAGTGAGCCTAACATGAGTGAGATGATATGGTGAATGCATATAGCTAAAAAGAGAAGAAAACACGCCAACAGATTCTTCAAACTGTCAAAGAACACATTAATTGGCGCACCGCTCACAAACATGGTTGCCAAACCAGTGTTGCCAGTCTAGTACAATTCACAATTGTACTAGATGTAGTACATTCTGCGTGTTCACGTGTAAAATATATATATTGTGTTCCTTGTTTGGGTTCGTTATCAATAAAGACCCCCTTTTTTCCCCTTCAATGAATTAGATGTCACTGCAAATAGAATTCGAAAATCTGATACATTTAAGGAATCTGGTACATTTTTTAGACAAATCTGGTACATACCAGAAACATATTCTGGCAACACCGTACCAAATAAAACAAACAGTCATTTCGTTTTCCGTCATTATGAAACGGTTTTAATAAAATTAAGATTATTTTATTATTTGTGATCATTTAACAAAATGTGTTTAATTGAGAACTGCAACTTTAATAAATTGGAAGGATGAATGTCAATTTAACGATTGTTCCCGAAAAAAGGCAAGGTAAATAAAAACTTTTTAAGGTTATGTTGTTTACCTATAATAAAGTTTTACGATTGTAATTTGTTTTATATTTTGTTTCAGTGTCTAAGACCATCCAAAGACTAATTCAAAATGGTCTATTTTGTACCCAATTGTAAATACTATAAAGTAAGAAGTAAGCAAAAATTTGTAAATTTTTTTCCCACTAAACAAGTCATATCCCACACATCTACATGCTCTGGCTAATCAATCCTATAAGTACATATCAAAACATTAATATACTATCCACAATTAAACAATAATTTGAAAATACAGATGAAGCCGATTTACTTATTTAAACAAAATTACTATTATTCTATTATTTATTAAAACACATTATTTTTTAGTAAACTTGGACGTGCAAAAGCAGCCATGAGGGTAGGACATTAGTGAGAGCAAGAATACTTTGAAATGTGGTGTGAAATACAGTTAGAAAGGGTCATATGGAGAATTAAGTGTGATAACATTTTACGATATGTATCTCACTAGTTTAGTTCACAGATTTCTGTTCTGTGTTCAATTACGTGCCTGCTATTTCAAACTTTTAGTATCCTTTGATAAAAGAAGTTGAATATTATTGTTAACCTTTTTAAATTTTTTATTTTACCTCATACATTTTTTTTTACTCTTCATACAGTATTCTGTGAAGAGTATTATAGGTTTACTTTGCCTGTCTGTCCGATGTCACGTTTTTTGTCTGCACGATAAGTCAAAAACGAGAAATGATATCAACTTGAAAATTTTAAGCAAAAATCAAGCTCTATAAGTGGACAAAGCCTATTGATTTTTAACAAATCTGTGTGATATATCATTCTCGAAATGGAAAAAATTGAGGAAAAGTGTAAAATTTCAATTTTTCACTATTTTCTTTTAATGAATATAATATATGAAGTATATGTGTGGAAAATGTATGGAAAGTGTATGGAAAATGAATGGAAAATTTATGGAAAATGTATGGAAAATGTATGGAAAATGTTATGTTTTTAGTTCATCCTTTAAAAATTTACAGAAGTGATACAATAGGTTATACAGAATAACTTGAAAAGGCCTATAACTTTAGGCAAGTCATGTGCATGGGCGTCATTCTGGGGGGCAAGAAGGAGTACCCCCTTAGAAGTTAACTCAATGTCTTTTATTAAACAAGATTTACTTCATTAGTGCCAAAAGAGAGTTCATATTGTTTTTCTTTATATTTTTTTTCATTTATTTTATTTTATTAATTTTTTTCTTTAATTTGTTACTTCTTTTTAATTTCCTAAAGAACGTTTCACCTTTCATATTTTTTAATTTTCTTTATTCAAAAATAACAAGCATTGTGTTCATAGAAAATTCAGTTACTCTCTTTATAATCCACATAAATATTATGTAATATTATATAATAAACATAAGAACAACAATATATTTTATTGTTCATTCAGTACATTATATCACCGAATTGAAAAATATTTCACAAATCAAAAGCTAGCCCTGACCTATGGCAACAGTAAATGCAATTTAACGGTTTCTCGAATTCCAGGAAAAAACACAGTTGTACAACTTTGCACAAATGTTTGAAAATTTCTGGTAATTTAAAAACTAGTGCCAACTCTTTCACACTTGTAAATCTGTTTCACTCTCGCTAACATAATTATAGGCAAAATAGATCGTGAAATAGACAGGTGAAAGTAACATGACAATACGCTTTCTCTATAGAAAAGAATCACGTTTAAACATCATGTGATGTTCCATCAGTCAATTACGACGAGATACATAATTGCTAGTCTTCCTACTTACAATCGACAACACAGACATTGAGACTCATTCCGACCTCCGAGACCTCAACATCTTTGTTCTTTCTTTCGTCGCGTACTCGACGCTATTCATTAAAAAATATTTTTTGAAAGACATTAGCGACAAAAAGAGTATTATTTCATGTTTTATAACTTATTTGAAATAATTTTTACTACAAAGATATATCAAAATGATTTACAAAAAAAAACGATAAAAAGAATGAAAATATAAAGCTAAAATATGTTTTTTGCATCTAGTGCATTAACAGGTTCAAGTCGCTTACGCCCTTTTGTCAAAACAACGTCGATAGTCGATATGGAGTATAATCAAAATTCATATAATGTTAAAATGTTAACTCACCATCTGCTGAAATGTCAACTGGCTCTGGCTCATCGGGCTCAGGTTCAGGTTCGATTTTACTCCAAAATTCAAAAGCTTTCATAATTTTATCTTTAAAGTTGAGAACTTTTTCTAAATCTATGATGCAAGGTTGACATAACACATGAGATTCGTCTATATCCTAAAAAAAATACCATAAAGTAATTCCCAATATAATCTATTTTGATTTGTTTTTTCTCACCACCGATTGATTCATTATTTCTTGAATCTTAAGCATATACGATTTTTCTTCGGGATCGCAACTATTAACTTGCATGAATTCTATACCTTCAGTTGCATCAGTTTGTAAACATATTAAACATGTTTTTAATGAGGCTTCAGGAATAGGCTGTAAAATTAAAATACTAGAATGATGTATGTATTGTATGCTATCATAATTCTTCTCAATCAATGATGCTGTTAAAAATCAACTTCCTTGTGAAACAATCTTTTCAGACCTTTCAAAGGCATTTGATTTTGTAAACCATTCTATGTATGTTAATTATTAAGTTGAATCGATATGGTGTTAGGGGAATTGGTCAGCTGATGGCAATTACAGCATCAATTAATTATGCAAAGAGGAAGTGCCTCAGGGTTCTATCCTGGAACCACTCCTTTTCATATTTAAAAATGATTTGTCTCTATATATGAGAACTATTAACCAAAATGTTTTGATGTAGATAATACAAATGTATCTACAAACAACACTCATAAATTCTTCCGAAGTAATTAATACTGCAAAAAAAAGTTGATTTGATTATAATGAGTTATACTTAAAGGAGAATAAAATTGAAATCATTGATTTCAGCCTTCATGGTTCATCAGGTGAAATAATTTTTTGGTATGTATATACGTGGGTACAACACTTTCTTGAATTCCTCACTTACACTACTTATGTAACAAACCTACTAAAACAGTTTTTGAATTAGAGAAAATAACACATAAAACTGTTTATAAAGAAGTAGCCATTACAGATTATCACAGGCTTTTCCATTTAGGTTTAGTATTATAGAATTAGACTAAGTAGGGGAAATGCTGTCAATCAAGGTTCATCTACAAAGGGTATTCCCGGTATACTTTCTAACTTTGCGAAAGTATTTGAGATGTCTGTTTATAATAGAATACTTCCTTTGATCAGACCAAGTATCATTTCATAACAACACGGATTTATATCAAAGAGGTCGACTGTCACCAACTTAATGTGTTTCACTCAATGAACAACTAGAAGAAGTACATACAATATATACAGACTTCTCAAAGGCCTTCGATAGGTTAGATCACAGTATTCTTTTGCAGAAATTATATATTCGATTCCCATATCCTCGACTTGATATTGAATATAACGTTCACAAATCAAACGTTTTTGTTGCTAATAATTGCTTCAATTAACATTCATATAGGTTGAATATATTTCGCTCCTACAAAATCCTGGTTTTCAGACGGAAAACCATGGACTTTTTAAGTTGTTTTTCATATCAAATTAAAACTCAATTTATTATCTGACCATTGTGAGTGATATCCAGTGTAAAATTTCTTCGTTACTAAGTAAAACTGCGTTTTAATTCATAAAAGTGATTAAACCAAGTTTTTTTATCGCTTTTTTTTGTTATTTTTACGATTAAGCAGTGACAAAAACTTTTTGTGATAAGGACAATTTTAAATCTAAATGAAAGTGGCTACTGTTCCATTCTAACGTCATTTTACTCAGCAGGATAGATAAATATAGAAAATGGACAAATCTTTTAAGTGCTGTCAGAACAAAATATTTGGAAATTATATATCGCCGTTCCGGTAGTATAACGACGTAACTGCCACTTTTTCAAAAAATTAGGTATTTGCATAAAACGATAAAGAATACTGTTACTTATTAGCTGAAACAAAGCCGTGAATGTAATCAAAGCCGTGGATGTTAGTTACGTCCTTGTCACATTTGGCAAAGTCGATAACATCGATCTGCTAAGACACGGGCGCTATTGGTCAGTTACCTAACAGTTGCCAATAGAGACGCACATATTTTTAGTGTATCTTTGGCGCAAGTGCTACTTTGGACTGGTGTTAAAATTTTTGTTTCCCTATTTTTGGAAGGACAAAGACGTAAGTATACTTTTCGCCTATATTTTATTAGACATTGGAAATTTAAAAGCCATAATTGTAAAAATCATTACGTGATTCGCTAAAACAAAGACTTAATTGTACTTTACGTCTGTGTTTTTTTTTAAATTGTCATTTTGCGAGGACATAATCGTATTTTGAGTCTGTATCACCAAACGCTTGTGCTTTTTAATGACCTTTTACTACCAAAATCTGTGTTTATCTCTTCAGTTCACTTGCATCGGAAGATGAGAAGAAAGAAATTGAAAATAAGTATAATGAGCATTTGGAGGAGAAAATTTTAAGTCGTAAAGAAAAGGAGGAAGATAAAATAAAAGCCCAAGCTGTAAGGATTTCGTTGGCTATTTATGATTTACAGGCAGTATTGCCTGTTCTAGTAGGACAGTCATCAGCTTTTTTCTGCAAATTGCGTTTAAATTGCTACAATTTCACTGTGAGTCATATTTTAACTTTTTTTTTTATACATTTTTATGTGCATGTTTTTTTTTGTTACAGATAACAAATATAACAAAAAGTTCAACAAAAGCATTTTTTTGGCATGAAGTTTTTGGTAATAGGCGTGCTGTTGAAATAGTGAGCTGCGTTTTGATTTATTAGGAGGAACTATTGAAAAGTCAGCCAGGATTAAACTTAGTTTTTTTTCTGATAATTGTATGGGTCAACAAAAGAACAGGTGAATCCTTTAAAACGCTACATTAGTATACCTATTTTTCATTACACAATTTGTTTTTAGATTTCTGATTGAAGCGTATCTCTATGCAGTAGAGCACTTTGAAATTGCGTCTATCACACATAAATTTTTGATACGTGGGCATACCCAGAATGAAGCAGATGCAGTCCACAGCATTAACGAGAAGAAAATTTCCTTGGCCAAGAAGTCGGGACCCATTTATATTCCCGACCAGTATGTTTCTATTATCCGGGAAGCCAAGAAAAAGGGAAAGAAAATTGAAGTTAAGGAGATGGGTTTTCAAAATTTTCTAGACCTTGAGGCATTAGCTGATGACATGGGTCTCACCATAAATAAGAATACGGTTGGAAATGACTTTAAAATTAATGAAGTTAAAATTTTACGATTTATAAAAGGAAATAATGAAGAGTTTCATTACAAAACAAGTTACAAACAGAAAAAATGGCTTTAAGTGAATTTTAGGCAAAGAAAAAGGTCAAAAAAGAAACTGAAAGATCTTAATATAAAAAATGCCTACAATAAGCTATTCCAGTTAGCTGAAAATAAGAAAAAGGATTTACTGAGTTTGATCAAGTCTAATCTTATTCCGGCGTTTTATAAAAACTATTATGAAAGTATATTATTACGTTAGATAAGAAAAATGGATGTACTTTTCTGGTGGATAAGTCGTGTTTATTATAGTAATAACTATGGAAATTTTTGTTCTATTAACTGTTTTTCTTTTTAGTTTTAATGGTTTATTCGCCTATGCAATCGATCGAATATTGACTAACATAGTAAAATAAGTAATGTATGATCTGGAATATTTTCTATTATGTTGTTTTCTATTATATTATGTTTTCTTATATTACCATTATTGATTTCACGATTTTATTTTATTTTGGAGTAATACAATTAGTATTTTTTGATTAATAAACTTAATGAATGAAAAAGGCAGAAATGCAAGTTAGATTTATTTTTTCACCAAAACATAGGCATAACTTCAAAATTCACCTATAATATCAAACATAAGAAAAATGTATCTAACGTACCTTATATTGTTCATCCAATATTGTCTATTCTTAAAAGAATTACAATTCTAAAGAAATTAGGCTCTTTAGAACAAATCCTTTTAAAAACAGCTTATCGTTTTTGTCTCTCCTGTAAAATTCAGTGATTTGCAGTTACGTCGATATTCCACCGGAACGGCGATATGTATCAGATGTATAAATATTTTTCATCCGAGTTGTCTCGAGAGGATGAAAAATGTTAAAATTTTAAAGGGGTATAATTCAGAAATATTTGTTCGAAACTGAAACTATGTACCCACACTAACTTTATAATGGTGTCTGTTCCAATTTTGAGAAGACGCAGTGACAAAAACCTAATCAAGAAATTTAATTTGAAATTAGACCATTTTCTGGATAAGTTGGACAATTATACAGAAGGTAGAATGTTATATGTAAATTAAGGTCCTTCATTTTCAGGCAATATTTGTTTTCTCTATGCTACCTGAAAATCTGAAACTTTATTAAAAAATAAAAAAATTTGCCGCTGGGTAAAGGGTTCTAAATGCAATAGCGATTTAGCTCATTTAAAAATTTGATTTCCCATTTAAATAACATAGGAAACATTTTTTTTTGTTTCAATTTGATTTTTCGATATTAAAAATTTTTTTTAGGAAAAACCTGTGTATAGCTTTTATAGGGCATAAAATCCGCTACAATAAGTTTTTTGAGTGAATCCCTTCCGACCAACAGTTTTTGAGTTATAGAGCTAGAAAGATGAATATCAATTATATTTCACATCAAATCTTCTTTAAACTAAAATTTATTATTTTTACATCTAATAATAACTTATTATAAACATTAGGACGCAACAGTTCTAATTTTCAAATTTTTTAGTTTCATTTCTAAACACAGTAGTACTACTCTTGACTTCGTCTATACTTCCATTGATGTAAACAGAAGTTTTTGCTCTTTATCCGCGCCATTTCAAGGAGCGCTACAAAAGTAGCGATCACTTACGCTACCTGATCGATCTTTATGCACGGATGAACCATGTTTAAAAGTGACATTTGATTGTGGTTTATTCATTTTATTTTTGAGTTGAATGTCTCTGGTTGAAGATTTGTTTATTTATGGTTTGTTTATTTTTCAATTGCTAATATAACCCTACTAGTCATCAAGCAAACCGTGGACGTAAGTGCGTAAGACAGATCAGTGATCACCGATCAGACGTAAATAAAATGCGCTACTTTTAATGGCGGCCGCTCCTTGAGCGAAATGTCAAAATACACCGTTCATACGTGCCACTCGAGAGCGCTACCAGATCGATCAGGTAGCATGTGGCGCGGATGAACGCAGCCATTGACTAGCATTGATTGTTGATAATTGTGCTTTAATCTCATTGTTTATTTTTCTGTTTCTGTCATAAATGTCAGACTCAGTGATTAGACTCATATTTAGCTGCAATGGCTAATAAAAACTCCTGTAAAAACATTTATTTACTTGATTATGAACGTACATTTTTATCCCAACGTAAGCTATCAAATAATCGGGAAGTATTAAGTTTATTGTTGTACAATTATAAATCTCTCGGTAAACCACTGAATCTAAGTTTAAAAATTGTGTAAAACGAAAATCCCTTTGATGCCAGTTCGAAACATTGTTGCAAAATTAAGAAGTTTATATAAAAAAGATTTGATGTGAAATATAATTAATATTCATCTTTCTAGCTCTATAACTCAAAAACTGTAGGTTGGAGGGGATTCACTCAAAGAAACTTTTTGTAGCGAATTTCATGCCCTACAAAAGCTATTCACGGGTTTTTCCTAAAAAAAATTTTTTAATATCGAAAAATTAAATTGAAACCAAAAAAAATTTTTTCCTATGTTATTTAAATGGGAAATCGAATTTTTGAATGAGCTAAGTCGCTATAGCATTTAGAACCTTTTACCCGGCGGCATAATTTTTCATAAAGTTTCAGATTTTCAGGTAGCACAGAAAAAAAAATATTGCCTGAAAATGAAGCACCCTACTGTACACTTCTGATATTGGCAGAGTCATAAACGTTAGTAAAATCCACCTCTATGCTGATGTGACGCAAATTTATCACTCTTTCAAGGCTTAGAATGCATTAATGAAGATGTAAATAATATTATTCAGTGGTCTTCCGATTATGCTCTGAGTATAAATTCTAATAAAACATCTGTATTAGTGTTTGGTCCTAAAAAAGCTAATGATAAAATTTCTAGAATCATTACAATAAAGGTCAATGACCAGCAAATAAGACCAACAAAAGAAGCAAAATATCTTGGGGTAATTATGGACATTAAATTAAAGTTTAAAACACATAGAAGCACCTGCATCAATAATGCTTATATTAATATCAAAACAATTTATTATATTACAGTCTCTTTCTCTTCCAATAAAAAAGATATTATGTGATTGCGTCTATGGTCCGGATATCAGCAGGGTGCAAGGTTGTGCAAAATTCGTGCATGCGTCTGATTTGTGGTGTAAGAAGACGTCAGCCCATTTCTCACAAATTAAAAATTCTTAAATGGCTCAACATGAGTAAAAGGCGTTATCTGCATTTTTATCGTGCCTCCTTCACATAATATTAGTTAAAAAAATCAACCAACGTATCTTTTTAATAAGAATATCATTCAGTCAATCATACACAAATGAAACACTCGCTACAAACATGATATAATTACACCCAAACATCGCACTGAAATAGTCAAACGTTCCTTCACGTACGAGGTGCCTGAAATATATAACCAATATCTATAAAAAATAAATCAATCCAATCATTTAAAACAGCATTGAAATTAAATTTACTTTCTGGTATATAATATTGTTGTTACATTTCTTCTTTTTTATTATTATATTATTATTACCACTACCATTATAATTTTATCAGTATCAGCAGGCAAAAACAAATGATTTTAACTGACAAAAAAATTTACACTATATCTTGACCTGTATAATATTAAGTAGTGTTTTGAATTAATCCTTAAATAATAATTTTATGTTGTGATTCTCTCTATAAAACACCCTGTAGAAGAAATGTGTACTGTGCAACCATGGTCCGGTTTGATGATTCCTGGCGCTTGAGACTTATTTCAATCCTTATACCTACATTTTTAAACATTTTATAATTACCTTTTCTAATTCGACTTCCGATTTAACTAATTTTATTTGTGGATGTTTTCTATCCAAATGCTTTTTTAAATTTGATGTTGTAGATCTATAACCCAATTCCTTTTTACAAATATTACAATAAGCTACATATTCACCGACGTTCTTTTTCGTAAAATATTTCCAAATTTGGGACGGTTTTCTTCTACTGGTTTTCTCCTATAAAATTAAAACAAAAATTGTGGTATTATTGAATCTGGTAATAATAGGCAGTAATGGAATGTGTGAAGAATGCTGTCACTTGTCGATTTAGGAGGTTGCAGAGCAAGAGGAAATTTTTCCATTGTGGGTATATATTATTATTAGGATATTGCATAGGGCAGTATTTGATAATTTCTGACATTCTACTACTGTTGAGTTAAAAAATAACTGGCAGTAATATTTCAATATACAGGTCCATATTTGTAGAATATATTAATTATTGGCTTTATTATTACGTTTTGAGGAAAATCCTTGAACAGATCGATTTTTATTTCTAAAATGACATTTTCGGAACAAAATTATTTATCTCCCCCTTTAACCTCTTCGGAGTAAAAGTCACCACTTTAATTTTTTTAAATAGAACGGGGTAGCGTGTGATACCTCATTTTAAAGGGTTTTTAATTCCCTATTCAGCAGTTTAAGATTTTTTGTTTTTTGTACGTTTATATTCAAGAAACATCAATTTTTATTTTTAAAGCTTTTAATCAGCCCCCGAACTATTCTATTATTAATATTTCTATCTTATCTTAGACCATGTAAAAAAATGGCAATAAAAAGTTAAACCGAGCTTTTTATGAAAAACTTTTGCTATTCTGGTACAAGGGAAAAAGCGAGGAACATTTATTTACAATTGACGATTATAATTTATACTATTTAATTAGTTCAATTTTATGAACAGTCGCTATGGCGTATTTATCTGAAACTCGGAGAATAGATATTTTAATAATGCTTGGTTGTGGCAATAGAAAACGAACGCATGTGAATTATTTAATAATAAATATCCAGGACATAATATTTCACAGTCTACAGTTAGCAAAGTAGCAAATAAATTTCGTAGTACTGGACATGTGAAGCAAGTTCGTAACGCAGGAAGAACCCCTGAAGTTGATGAGGATAAACGATTAGATGTTATGATAGCCCTTGAAGAAAATCCGCATAAATCTACTAGACAACTTGCTGCCGAACACAACGTCAGTAAAACAACAATTGTGCGTTTTTTACACAAAGAAAAGTACCATCCCTATAAAATTCAGTTGGTACAGGAGTTATCTGAGGACGATCCAGACCGAAGGCTACAATTCTGTGAACAAATAATGAACAGATGTCAGGCAGACGTGCAGTTTTTACAGAAAATACTTTTTTCGGATGCAACGTTTTACTTAAATGGTACTGTCATCCGACACAATTCTCGTTATTGGAGCAGAGAAAATCCTCATTGGATAATGGACACTCAGTTTCCTAAAAAAGTGAATGTGTGGTGTGGTATTATTGAAAAATAAAATCATTGGCCTTACTTTTTTGATGACTCTCTGACAGGTGAAGGATATTTATATTTTTTAACAAATTTTTTGGTACCTCAATTACAAGTTCTGTATTCTGATAATAACAATCCAGATGAAACAGATAGAAATGTTTGGTTGCAACAAGATGGTGCTCCACCACATTTTGCACGTGGAGTTGAAGGATACTGATCTGGTGCGTGTGAACTTGAGACTTAATTTTTATTTAGGATTAGGTTTCTTTTAAATTTAAGTAAATCCAAACACCGAGTAAGTCAAAAATAAAACTTTAATGAAACAAAAGAGAAATGATATGGAACAAATCACAAACAACAAAAGTGCTGAATAATATACCTAGTAATAGGTAACAAAAAAAAAATAGTTGATACAAAGTTTATAGAGGGGCGTTTTGCGTAACCGTTAAACAGTCAGATTGACGTAACTTGATTAAACGCGGCACAAAAAGTTAATTTCATAAATACCTTAATAAGTTGGCACTATGTGAATACTATGGCACACAAACTAGACTAAATTTTATTTAGTCTTGGCAACTCGGCTGGAATCATTCACTAACAATTATGCAAAAAAAACATTGGTCACTCTTGACCATAAATTCAGGTTAAAAATCCACCTGCGGGAAACGTCACAATTCTCGATCGAGAGTCAAAATCTCTCTGCTCTTCCGGACCACCAATCTCATCTAGCCGTTCCTGCGGCGGGTGGGAAGGAACCATCTCGTACTGTCTTATGTCATCACACTCGCGAATTTCGTACTATCAACACATCCGCACAGGGGCGGCCCGTCACAGAGTAAGAGACTACTTGGATGAAGTATTTCCTAACAGATGGATTGGCAGGCGTGGAGCCATTGAATGGCCACCTCGATCTCCCGATTTAACGCCGCTTGATTATTTTCTCTGGGGCCACTTAAAGTCTCAAGTGTATTTAAATCGACCGGAGACTATTGACGAATTAAAAGAAAGAATCACCAAAGAAATTGAAAAAATTGACCCGGACGTCATACAAAATGTTCTTCAAGAATTTAATAACCGCATTGGTTATTGTTAAAAAGTTAACGGCAGTCATTTTGAACATTTAATACCATAAAATTGTAGTATTAATAGAATAGTTAAAAATAAAAATTGATGTTTCTTGAATATAAATGTGCAAAAAATAAAAAATCTTATACTGCTGAATAGGGAATTAAAAACCCTTTAAAATGAGGTATCACACGCTACCCCTTTCTATTTAAAAAAATTAAGGGGTGACTTTTAGTCCGAAGGGGTTGAAGGGGGAGATAAATAATTTTGTTCAGAAAATATCATTTTAGAAATAAAAATCGACTTGTTCAAAGATTTTTTCAAAACGTAATAATAAAGCCAATAATTAATATATTCCACAAATATGGACCACCCTGTATATATAATAGCTACTGAAAAATTTCTTCCTGTCTGATAACCTCCAAAATCTCATCATTTTGGTGCAATAACATCTTTCATTACATACTATTATTTTGAGATTCAACAATATAAAGCTAAATCGTTATCAATTTGAAAGATACTTTTACAGTTCCTCCCTTTAATGCACATGCTAATGAGAGAAATATGGCAGCGAATTTGAAAAAATCATTCGAGGTGTATCTTTTCAGACAGCGTGTTCTACTTCGACTCCAAACATTATGTTTCCTTTTAAAGTAAAACTTACACTAGTTTGTTAGAGTAAAAACTGATCATCATTGATACTGCAATGAGCTGTCAAAAAATTAATTTTATAGACTACAAAATGCTTATAAAGTACTACATAAGAATTCCTACATAGATCATACTATCAGATATTATAAATGCATTTTTGGCATAGAATACTGACAATACATATAGTGTACTGAAAAACGGGCAAAAGGTTTCAATTTTTTCTTTAAGATACAACCACATGTGGTCTTTACAAAATAATAGTCTAGGTCCCTGGCCATCTGAAATCGGCAATTACAACATTTTTTAATAAAAATCTGTCAAAATTATGTTTTATTACTTCTATACACATACCTCGCGATATCTCCGGAACTAACCAAGATATTTTCAACTTTTTTTTTTAATCGGCAGAAGAAACGTAAGCGGAGATAACTGCGTTAGTTTCATTAGTATAGAAAACCTATTTTTTTGTAAAACTAGACAAAACTTTAATCTTTACTTTTTTGCAGCACTATTTTCAGTAATCGAGAAACTTTTTTATTTTTCAAAATTTCACTAAACTATCTGCGTACCAAATAAAGCTAAAGCTTCAAGAAAGTTTTTAAAACAACAATCACTATTCTAAGTATCATAGTTTTCAAGCAATAGTTACTTAAAGTTAAAAGGTTCCGCACCTCCATGGGCCACTGCGCCGGCCGCGGTGCTGCCTAGCTAAAAATACTGTTAGAGTTATTGTGGGGGCGCCGACTTAATAATTATACCTGTGACCTGTAAATTAATAAAAGTTCCTAAACATTTTAAAAAAGTTATAGTTTAGTTATTGCTTTAGTTTAGATTAACAATATAAAATTTTATTATTAAAATTATCTTCATCGCACGAATAAACTCTGTTTATAGCAACTTAAATTAAAGATATTTATATTGACCATTATTTGACATTATTTAATAGGTACATCTGATCAAACAAAAACAAAAAAGTCTTTAAAAAATTCGCAGAAACATTAAACAAAAAATGATAAAACTAATTAAACTAAATAACAAAAAACATATTTTAAAAGTCTTCATCTTCGCAGTCTGATAAAATTTCGTAGGTTAGGCTGTTACAGCAGTTTGTATATTTGCAGTCGCTGCAGCATTTTAACCCTTGTGAAATGCAGGTACCCTTATTATACCCAATTCCGGAAGCAGAAGCGGATGATTAAAACGCACCTGATATTTTGCTTGCTGCTGTCAGTGTCAGTGAATATTATTTTTGAAGTCACAGTTTATTGCTAAAGAATCAGTTAGCTCACTCGGACCAGTTGAAAGTTCCAAAATAACATCCACTCCATGGATACAAATTCAGGATACGCAGAAGACTGCTGTTTTATTGTAGGCGGTTGTCATATATTGTATTATCCGAGTTGCACAGTGTATAAACTGAAACATTGGGATCAAAAGTGCCGACGCAGAGTGAGCGATCTGATTCTTTAGCTGTAAACTGTGTCACAGGGTTCAAAATGGCCGCGCCCTATGTTGGGCGTGTCGGACCTCTCTCTTGCCTCGTATAGTAATCAAAGTATGTGTTTGTGACGCATACATAATTTTACGCAGGGTGAAAAAGAATGTCAAATTAATTAAAAAAAAAAAATTATAGTTGGATGGCAAAACCACTATGTTCATTTTTGGTAATTTTAACATATATACATACAAACTGCTGTATTTCAACCTTTTCTATGCAAAACGATATACCTATATGAATTCTTTCCCTACACTGTGCATATTCAAAACTATATGGATATGACATATTTTCAGTATTTAAAAGTTTACAGAATCACATAAATATTATAATATGTATTGCTTACTTATTTTTACCTTTTTCAACATGTCTGGATTTGCCATCTAACTACAGAATCAAGCTGTAACGTTAGAAAATAAAACATCTCTTCAAAAAGACAAAAGTTGTTCATCCTATAAAAATATTCACTTCTCTGGTAATTTTGTCTATAATCTTTGTCATCTTCCAAGAAAAGCTGGTTTTCTATTTCCGTTTTTTAATAAAATTCAAAGAAAATGAATAAAAGAAACACAAATAGAAAGTTCCAAATATACTGACAAAACGTTTGACATATTTATGACGTTAGAAAATCTCGATTAAATAATTTAATCCTCCGATATTGACGGATTAAAATAAAATCGGATTAAGAATGATTTTTATTACGGTGCATAGCTAAAAATGGTACTAAACCCGATTAAACCCTTGATCTGGATTAAACATGTACTGTGCATACGGGCGTTATAATAGCCATTCTTGTTTTGAAAACGTTCTTGAAGCTTTTGCTTTATTTGGTATGCAGATAGTTTAGTGAAATGTTGAAAAATAAAAAAGTTTCTTGATTACTGAAAATAGAGCTGCAAAAAAGTAAAGATTAAAGTTTTGTCTAGTTTTACAAAAAAAAATAGGTTTTCTATACTAATGAAACTAACGCAGTAATCTCCGCTTACGTTTCTTCTACCGATTAAAAAAAAAAAAGTTGAAAATATCTTGTTTAGTTCCGGAGATATCGCAAGGTATGTGTGAAGAAGTAATGAAACATAATTTTGACAGATTTTTGAGAAATTTCGCAATAAAAAATGTTGTCCCTATTAAAAAATGTCATTGCCGATTTCAGATAGCCAGGGACCTAGACTATTATTTTGTAAAGACCACATGTGGTTGTACCTTAAAAAAAAATTGAAACCTTTTTGTCCCTTTTTCAGTCCACTAATATTGCAAGGTATGAATACATGCATATACCTACAAATAAAGTGAATTAATTTTTAGACATAACATGTCTTGCAGCATCAAAGACATTATTCTCCAGCCTCTTCTTCTCTTTGTATTATATTTATGTTATGCAAAGCTTTTGTTTATTTTTGTTACATTATTATAGGTAGACTTCAATAATGTATTAACTTAACTACATACCTCTTCATTTTTATCGTCAATTTCATCATCAGAAGAATAATTTTTCATCCGTTCGTAAAATTTATCATCAGGTGAATGTACTTCTGGTTTAACTAGATCTATTTTAGTATCCATAAGCATACCTTTATGCTTTCTTTCAAAATGCTTTTTTAAATTATTTGTGGTACTTCTATAACAAAATTCTTGTTTGCAAACATTGCAAAAGGCTACATAATCACTACCCGGCTTCTCTAAAAAAATTAAATAAAACGTTAATTTCATTCCACCAACTCACTACTTTCCCCCTACCTGTAAATACATTCCAAATTTGAGATCTTTTCTTGCAACTATTTGACAGTTTAAACTCAAATTCATCTTCATGTTCTGGAGATGGTCTAAATTCTTTATCACTCTCAGGCTCATCTTGAAGATTCCAAAAATCATCTTCATTTTCTTCAACAGAGTTATTTACTGGAGGATTGGCATTATTTTCTATATTTTCGACATTATCATCATTTGAAGGGTCGAAAGGTTGTAATTGTTCTTGAAATTCATTTTCGGGTTGAGAACATTCCTAAAAATTTAAGGAGTATTTACTTGGCTGCAGCGCGGAGCATGCAAGGGTTTGTAGTACCCCACTTTTAAAGTTTATTTTTGACTTTTTCTGAAAGAAAAAAATATGTACGTATAGGTAAAGGTTAAATCTGTGCTCCTCTGGAGACACTTTTTCAAAATTTGATTTAGTTTTTTATAAAAAAAAAATACAAAACTCGACTTTTTTTACCATTTTCTCAATTTTTTTAGAAAAAACTAAATGAGTTTTGAAAAAGTGGTTCCAGAGGAGCATAGATTTAACCTTTACTTACACGTACATATTTTTTTCTTTTAAAAATAGTCAAAAATAAACTTTGAAAGTGGGGTACTACGAAACCCTTACATTGCAAGATTTTTCGTCTGGAAAGTGGCGCCTCTGTTAGATTTTTAAGAAATTAATATTTGTGAATGAAAAAAAATTATAAAATATTTTACTGATGTTTTACGAGGGATAAATAAATTTTACCTATTTGTACACCTTATTTTTTTACGTAAATCATTTCTGTAATGCTAAGATTGCCATATATATTATATAAAAGGATTTCATAGTACACCAATTTTACGGATTATTTTTAATTTTTACCAAAAGAAAATTTATGTAAGTACAGGTAAAGTCTAAATCCGTACCTCTCTGGAGTCACTTTAAAAATCTGAATCAGTCTCTTCCGAACAAAACCTAAGAAAAGAAACGAAAAGAAATAGAAATGTTAAAAAATGCTAGAAGGGAACAATATATTTAATTTTTGCCTACAGGAGCATTTATTTTTCTTACAACAAAAATAGGAATACATTGAAAGCTTTTTCGTCTAGAGGGTAACACCAACAAAATATATATCTTTTTCTACTATTTAGTGATTTGAATTCATTTTGTTATTTTTTACATACAGTAATTTCGCTCAATTATATTAAAATTTATTTATTTATTTATGACAGGATTAATTACAGTAATAACATGATTAATTACAACAATAAACAAAATATAAATTAATCATAGGTAAATAAGTTAGCACCTAGGTGTGGGCACCTGTATGTGCTAGACAGACTAAAAAACTAATACATAAAGATTAAAAAACTAAAATATAAAGTTAATGTATTTTTATATAAATGTTAAATGTAATAAGGCAGCAATGTTATATTATATAATATGTAATAATGTTATAATCTTGTAATCTACAATGTTCCAACATATTACAGTGAGATGTGTGTTATTCTAAGAAGAATCTATACAATTTTGAGTAGTTTTGGTAGATGAAGGATTTGCACGCTTTCTTAAATAAATGTTGTTTGTTAATTAATTTGATTTCAGGAGGTAATGCATTGTAACACTTTGGTCCTAAGTAATTTATACAATTTTTGAAAGATTCACTATTAGGCATAGATATTTTAATATTCAAGTTACTAAAAGTTCTGGTTTTGTGTTGATGACCCAGAGGTTTTTTTAGTACCTCATGTTTTTGTATGTAACAGCATATTGTGTTCATGTATAAACTTCTAACATTAGATATTGTTTCATTATATAGTAGAATATAATCGCTGTTTGTTGAAGATAATTTTCAGTATTTTATTTTGTATGACATTTAGTGGTCTAAGGGTTGTTTCATATAGGCCTCCCCATACTAGTATACCATAACGTAGAATAGATTCTACCAAGCTAAAATATAGGCTTATTAAGAGATTTTGGTTAAGAAATTGTTTTAAAAAATAAAATTTATAGATTATAAATCTAAGCTTTTTTGATATATATGCTATATGAGAGTCCCATTTTAGATGTTGGTCTATAATTATACCCAAGTATTTAGAAGTTTCTGTTTCTTGTATTTTAGAGTCCAAATTACTGGTAACTATTTCTTTAAAATGAGGGCGATCCTCGGGGCGATCAGCTAATGTTTTAGAGAATGCTATATAGTTCGTTTTTTTGATATTTAAGGATAATTTAAAAACGTCTAACCAGTTTTTTACATGTTCAATTCCTTGTATGGCTTGCATTTTTGTAGATTCCCAATCTTTACTACTGAAGACGAGCACAGTATCGTCTGCATAAGAAATTACTTTACCTTGAATGTCAATCTCAGTCAAGCCTTTGATGTATAAGTTGAATAATATTGGCCCTAAGACAGTACCTTGAGGTATACCAATTTGTACATATTCAGGATTACTAAGACTATCTCTTATTTTAACTTGTTGTTCCCTCTGAGTCAGATAGCTTTCAAAGACTTTCCATGCAGTGCCTCTTATCCCATTCTTTTCAAGTTTTTGGTGTGGCACTGTGTCAAAAGCCTTTGCTAAATCCAAAAAGGTGGCGATACATTTTTTATTGTTGTTCATTTCTTCAGCTACATGAGATATTAGTGCATGCATAGCATCACTCGAATTAAGACCCTCTGTAAAACCATATTGATGCTGAGGAAGCAGATTGTTAATATTTTATCATTTATTTATTAAAAAAAATGTCCGAAATTAAAAGGTATACACTGAGATGTGAATTATAAAAATATGTTTTTGTTTAACTTTTATATCGCACGGTTTTTTTTTGTTTAATGAATACCTCTTCGAGTTAACAATAATTATTAATTCCAGCATGTTAACAACTCCTCAATCCATTAAAGTAATGTAAATCATTTTTCTTGCTTTCGCACATGGCTTTGATCTGACGCACTCTTTGAGGCGCGTTGCAAGAGAAGATTTTCTAAAATATAAGCCAATGTCTATAGATGAGAAAAAACGATTGTGACAAGCTGATTGTGCATTGTGGCACAATAAAAGACGAAAACGAGTCACTGCTTTAAAATTTATTTAATTTTTGTCATATTATGTAATTTTTGTTATATTGTGTAATTTTTGTTATATTGTGTAATTTATGTTATATCCAAATTATGTCTTATTGTGCAATATGTTATATTTATATTTACTTTTGTAATTACAATTTTTTTTCTTGCTCTATAACTAGGCATTTAGCCTGTAGAGCAGTGTATTTAATAAATAAATAAAAATAAATAAAAAAATTTGGAGAAATTTGTAAAAAATCTAAAATCTTTTATTTATTGCTAAAGCCACCCAATATGGTATGGACCATAAATTCAGAGCAAAATAAGATTTGGAAATTTATTTCCAAGAAAAAGTTTTTCAATGTGGATATTTTATTGAATCCGAATTTGATTATGTTGCTGCAAATCTGGATGGAATTAAAAAAAAACAAATTCTATGACAGAGTTGAAATGTCCATATGGAGCTAGAGTGCTGACTGTAGAAGAACTAGGCAGTAGAGAAATAACTTTTTGGAAAAAGGACAATACCATTAAGGAGAACCACTATTGGTATTTTCAAATTCAGGGCTAGCTGCACGTAACACAAATGGATTTTTGCATTTTGTGCTTTTGGACATCTGCAGGAATAAAAGTGGAGAAAATTCCATATAATAACAGCTTTTGGGAAGAAAAGATACAAAATAAAATTCAAAATTTTTATATGCAATATGCCTTGTCGGAACTTGTTGACAGCGGAGCTAATAGAGACATGGAAAGGTACGAGACAGAATACTAAATAATTCGTGAGACATTTTGTTTTAAGTTTTATTAACATAACGCAAGGAATATTAAATTATTTTGAATATGTTTATTAATTTAAGAATTAGATTCTATTTATTTCTAAAAATGGTAGTAGGCGATCCATTTAAGATATGATTGTCTTATTATTATAATACGCTTTTTTAAATTTAGGATTTTACCAGTGTCAGTGGCAATTGATGATATATAATTATTATTATACCAAATGTTTTAAAAGACTACACCAACTAGTGGACCACGTTTTTAAGTTCCCAAATAATAATTTCAAGAATTTGATTCGGATTAGAAGTTTTACTATACAGGGTTTTGTGCCAAAACCAAGTCATGTATTGATATTGTAAAATGCAGATGAGTAACTATCACATCAATAGAAATTGAAAATTCACATATGAATCTTTAAAACGTAATTATTTATAACTTTAATAATTTCATACGGTCAAAATTTTTAGCAAACTTATTTAATTTTAAATATAAATTGATTTTCATTTTAACTTAGAAATTTTCGAAAAGTTCACTATATTTTTTAGTTGTTACAACTTTATTGAACTTAAGTAGCGTTCAGATTAAAATATGAATTGATTTAAGGAGCTTAACTGAAAAACGGGAACTAATGCTTCCATTAAAAAAAAAGTAATATGGACAATAAAAGGAATTTCGAACTGTGATATCTTCAAGTTCTTATTTAAAACCTTTAAAAATTAATATTATCATTAAACAAGAGTTATCTTTACAAATTGATACAAATATAGAACATAACTTTGTTGACATAAACATTATTTTCATAATACAAATAACTATATCTCTGTTAAAGAATGGTCATAATTTATTTAATATATTCATTTAAACATGTTTTTGTTTTTTGTCTAGATGATATTGAATACTAACTTTTCTATATAACTTCTTATACCCGACATTGTGAGATAAAAAAAACAGACAATTACTGACAATTAATTAAGAGTGTACTCACAATTTTTCGGGTATAGGAGTTTCAATGTTATACTGTTTCCCAAATTATGAAAATACTAAAAAATTTAAAAAGCAAATTAAAGAATGTTTTAATGTTTTAACAGAAGAACTTGCTTGACAACATTGTGTTTCTTTTTTGAAAACAGAGAACAGTTGAAAATAACAACATTTTTTTATTTCAAAAAAATATTAGGTCAGTTTTTGTTTTTTATGTAAATCATATCATTTTCAAGGCGATAAATCAGAAGAAAAGTCACCGAAAACCGATTTCAAAATGGTCTATTAGTTTTTTTTTTAGAAAATGGAAAGAGAAAAAACGTTTTTTAATCGAGTTACAATTATTCTTTACTAATTTCGCTGTTTCTCTTCGACGATATCCGGTCTCCCTCTTGTTTAACACGTTGACGACCACGCATCACATATATGTGACAAGCAGTTTTTTCCAGGAACTGATGTCACAAATGTGCGACAAAGACCCTGCAATGATTAAATGCAAATAACTTCTGGGCGGTTCAGCGGCGACACGTATTTTGGCGTCAGTTTCTGGGCTGGGATAACAAAATACATATAACCTATAAAACATATATTTCTGTCAAAATGTTATGCCACCCAAAAAAACGCGGTTGGTTTCTAGCATCGTCAAATTTCATAATAGCGGTCGTGAACGTGTTAAAATCGATAACTATAAACGGATTAAGGTATTTTGTACCTGTTAAAAAAATTCAAAAAGATTCTGAAGAATATAATTTTTTTTTTATAAAAAATAGTAAACTTTAATAAACATATACAATATTCTAAAAGATAAATCACATTTTTGTAATTACCTATACAAAAATTTTATTTATTTTTCCAATGTAATATGGATTGCCCTCTAAAATATATATATAATGGCTCGCAAACAGTCTGCTTTTTATATGGAAAACTTTTTCTTGTTACTTTTTTCAGAAAATGGCAACTTGATGTTTAATTAAACCTAAAGCTTTATTTATTTAAAAAATTCTGTACCATAAATAAAAATTTGGCTGCGCAGTGAACTAGGTACTCTTCTAGAAACTGAACCCACATTTTTACACATAAAATTAATTTAAAAAAATGTATATAATCCCATATAGTAGTTTTTGGTTAATACAATTAATATAGTTTATTATATCCTTTTTTTAACATATGTTCAGAGATAATTCTTTAACACGGTGTCCGATTTCAAGGATTCTTTTAGCAGGAAAGGGGATACTTCAGGGGTGGTCCCATATTTGGTCAAAATCTAATAATTAGGTCCATAAGAAAATCCTCAAACTCTTCATTTTTTATTTATGTTTAGTGATAATTCTTTACCACCTTGTCGAATTTCTATGATTCTTTTTTTTTTTTGTTAGTAAGGGGATACCTCTAAGGTGGTCCCATATAAATTTGGTTAAGATGTGGTGATGGCATCTGCACGATTTTGAAGTTGGTTTTTTAAAATTACTTTTAATACTTGTTACATAGATTAAAAAAGTTTAATAATTTGGTGCTTTCTTGATGCATCGTTTTATGATTTCACTTTGTATATGTTTAAGTACAGATAATTATTATTATTACTGGCAGCTTAATTTAAATCATTAAAATAATATTTTGTTAATCCAAAAAAGGCAAACAAAAAAGCCATGTCACATACAGTGTAATAATAAAAATTAGATATATAAATATAGTATATTATGTACCAATGGACTAAACTTTCACTTTTAATCCTTTTTGTCGTACCAGTGACGTCCATACCAGGTTTGAACTGAATATTTTTAAAGAAAATAAGGTATGCGACAGCTTTTTTTAAAAACCAAAATTATCTTTAAAATCCTTATTTATTTTTGGTTTATAGATGTACTTTCGTACGACGCAACCTTTTCGCGTAAACAAATAAAAACTAAAATTTTTTTTTAAGTTTATTGAAACTGCTTTTGATATTTTGTTGTATCTGCACTCAATTAATAAATACCCTGTATTGATTGATATTACCTTATTCGAAACAATCGTCTATTTTTTTGTTATTTGTATATTGGTTTTATTTTGCCCATCTTTCACAACTCTATGCTTCTAAATATAATTTAATCTAACTAAATATAAAAATAATGTAAAACTGTCTAATAAAACGAACTGCGTTATAACAATATCTCACAATGCAGCAAGAAAAACAAATACGATTCTGGTTTCCCTAATTTAGGTAACTCTGACTCACTCAATAATTGATTAAAGTCGGCAGCCGTGCTAGGATTTTTCGATTCCTTTGTCTCAACTTTGCGCGTTAGAGTTTAGAATATGTATCCCTTGTATCTACATGCAATTGTTAAAATTATGAATGAATGCGGATTTTGTTTAGTCTCGGAAATTTGTAGTATTTAGGCTCCACCCTCAAGTTGTAATTTTTTTACCTACTAAACTACTGTTGCCCTGCAGGTCTTTCAGTTTGTAATGTAAATTTTCCTCTTAAATGTAAATAAAATAAGATGAATTCCTTTTAGTTGAGACTTACTTTAATCAATTCCGTGTGTTTCCTCTGCAAATGTCTCTTTAAATTGGTTATTGTAGTTTTGTATGACAATTGGCTATCACAGGAATTGCAGGCAGCCATATAATCTGAATCCGGAATCCTCTGAAAAAAGTCCCATAAGTGCGAACTTCTTTTTCCACTACCTAAAACAATAAAATCCGGGGATTCTTCATCGGTAGCAGGTTTTACTTCAACTTTGAAAGATTCTATCTTGCATTCATTTTCTAATTGCCTTTCTATAACTATTTCAACTTCTTGATGCTTTTCTTCGATATACTTATTTTCAATATATTTATCTTGAACGTAAGTTGAAGTTACACTGTGTTCAGGATGCTTTCGTTTAAGATGTTTCATTAGGTTTGTTGTTGTAGATCTGTAAGAGAACTCTTGGGAACAAATATTACAGGTGGCTATATAATCTGTTTTGTGCGTTTCGGTAAACACGTTCCATATTGCCGATCTTTTTTGAACTGACATTTTTATATAATAATATGTATTATTATTAATTTATTAAATACTTCCTAAACATCAACAAACACTTATGACAGCACATGATTTGACGTATGACTGTTAGTGGCGTGCACAAAATGGCGTGTGGCGTTCGACGTTACATCGCAGTAACTATTCAGCATAATGGCCTCCAACGATACGAACGTACAGCGCACGAAAGTGGGAATAAGGGAGTTCCGAGAGGAAAGTTGTTTGGCGCATCTGCGATCGAAGATGTGGTGTATTTTACGCATGTCCTTACAGTTTATTCTATTTTGTGTGGCCATAATAATTCTATTTTATTCAAACCTAAGTGTTGTAAATATTCATTGAGTGTAGCCAAGGATCTATATTGTAATAATAAAATTAAGATACGAGAACATTTATTTTATTTTGGGAATAATTATTATTATTACATACAATATTTTTGCATTAAATAAGTCATTCTCTTTTTAGATAATAACATTTAATTGTGCGTTTTGTAAAGTAACGTAATATAAATAAATTAATAAAGTAATACTATTAAAAATTCCTGAAATAGCAAAGTTGATTTTTGATTTTAATTTACTGTTTTTTAAAATAATAATCTAATAATATACAGGGTGAACTACTAAACCTTCGTGTGATAACATCATCACGATGTTTTTTTAATTGTACTCCTCATTTTTTCCAATTTCCGGATTTCCCTTGCTGAGTTGATTCCAAAAAAGTATCACACGTTGCTCTAAATTAGTATATACAGGGTAAGCAAAAATGCAAGTTTATAAATTTATTATTATACAGGGTGGCTCACGCTCAACGGGACGGAGCTTTATGGGAAAACGACCAAAGATATAAAAAATTCGTTTGGGAGGAATACGTAGGTTACAGACGGCTACAATTTAAAATTTGTTAGATGTATACAGGATGTCCCACATAAGAAAAAAAAAATTAGTTCATTAAAAATTATTCAAACAAGAGTAAACAATTAATTTCTGGGAGACTTTTTTTCCTTAAAAATTTAAATAAATCGAAAACTAATAATAATAATAGTAATAGGGAACCTTTAGTTAACTGACATTATTTTTGATGTAGTTTTTAATTCTAAAATAAAAAACAGGGTGTTCCATTAAAAATAATATAACTTTATATATTTTCTCTTATGTGGGACATCCTGTATACATCTAACAAATTTTAAATTGTAGCCGTCTGTAACCTACGTATTCCTCCCAAACGAATTTTTTATATCTTTGGTCGTTTTCCCATAAAGCTCCGTCCCGTTGAGCGTGAGCCACCCTGTATAGCTAAATAAACAATATATATTTAAAAATTCTCGAAACATGTCAATTTTTTTATTTTAATATACTGTTTTTTAAAATAATAGTTTAATATATAGGGTAATAAAATAATCACCATTCTTTTTAAATGGACCATCCCATTCTTCTTCAATTTACGTTCCTAGCTGTAGCCGGGAGATTTTGAAAACGGATCCCCTTTTTGGGGAGAATCCCGGACTTCCGAGAGCGTTGGCAACCCTAATGACAATCCTACTCGAACATATAAAATATTTGGAACATCATTGTTACCCGCAATAAGCCAGAAGAGATTTACTCTGGCTTGAGGCTTATTGTCAGATTTACTTCTTTATGTGCCGGTTTGAAAGTAAAACTGTAACATAAAAGTTTGTTTATATAACTTTTTTTGTCACGGGGCGGGCCCGATCTAGAGAATTGTCCTGGGGCCCGGCCTGGCACTCGGCGGCCCTGATGACGGTACATTGACGTGAATATATCACAGCTCAAATGACGTTATATTTAGACGTCCTTGTTGATGTTGATGTTTCCTTTTAACGATATATATCAAGATATATCAAGATATATCAAGATATATTTGAAAACTCTAAGGGCAAACAAAATTAGCGCTGTCATGCCTTTATGTGATTTTTTTAATATAAAATCATTTTTTTAACCACTTTTCTCAGGATTGGGATTGGCACATGTGACATTTGGTAAAGTACAATGTTTTTACATGCTTTTTGCGATTTTTCTGCCGCACGCGGCTAGCGTTATCATGAATATATATGAAGCATCACTCATACAAACGTCAAGTCGCGTGCGAAACAGTTGAGAGTTGGAGTTTTCTGTTAACTTTTCGACAGTTCCAGTGAAAAAATGTCCGACAGTTGTATTGATATAGATGAATTTATATCCGATATTCAAGACCGACCTCAAATATTGAACAGTTAATTGAAACAAAATGGCGACAAAAATATTTGTTCGGGAATCTGCGCTAGCATTCTGCAAAATTTAAAGAACTTATCTTCGTGTTGACGTAAATCCTTATATAATAAATTAAATGCGCATTTTACATAAGGGTCTATAAATAATGGATGAACCCAGTACCTACGTAGTTTCAATTTTTTCCTCCGACGTCAACACGAAGATACGATCTTTCTAAAACGTTCTTAAGAAGTCATTCCAGAAACGTTTCTTTAGAGACATCGTAGGGACGTACCATTTATGTCAGAAACATAGAAACATCACATACTTTGATTTTCTGTAATCAAAGTATGTGAGAAACATACATGAAACCTAAATGGGATGTTTCTGGCGGATCGGTGTTATTATACTCTGTTTTTAAACTAAGAGGAGCGATTTGAATTTAAGTTGGCAATTCTGTAGCCTTCTGATTGGTCAGATTACAGTCAGTTTCACACATTACTTTTTAGCATGAACATCAGCTAATAATTGATATTGTTGACAGTTCTGACATTTTATAATTTGATATCTCATCCATTACTTAGTTTTTTACTTTATTTCGTAAATAATAGTTCTTCAGTAAGCAATTGTATTGAAAATCTACAATAATTATGGATCCTTCTACACTGAGTACTATTAAAGGTAGCAATTCCTGAAAAGCCTTACAAGAAAGGGAAGACACATATTATTTTACATGCTGATTCTGAAGGTTTTCTAGAAAATGCATTATTGGTTTTTGAAGGTAAAAAGATGGGAGATTACCATGAAGAGATGAATTCCGAAGTATTTTAGAAAAAAATAATTTTATTACTGATTTTTTAAAACTAAAAATTTGATGAATTTCTAACCAAAATGATTAAAATGTAACTAAATATTCAAGCAAATTTTATTTATTAGAATAGAATAAAACTATTTACAAAATTGTTATAACATTTAAAACACCATCTACTACTTTAGGGATAATCTTAATTTGGCACAATGAGTTAACATTACTTTCACAACAAATATTTTAAAAATACTTAAAATTAATACATAGGTATGTATGAATAGTTCACTTTAAAAAATATATGTTGACATGTAGTGTTATGAAAATGTTATAGTTCCAGTTTTCAAAACAAATTCTGACTCATAGGCCTGTAAACTTTTGAATGCCTTTATTTGCCCTCTAGCGCATTAACCATGGGTTAACACTGAATAAGCCATAATATCCACATTACTCATAGAAGAGATACCAGTTACTGTGTGATCCACTTGTCATTCACTGATTAACTTTACTTTTTATACCTATAACAAATATATCCTTAAAAATGTAAACAGATCTTTATATTTTATACTAATCTGGCTACATCTGGATATTCCATTAACAATTTTCTTAAATATTTATTATCCATTTTAAAAAGATCATAGTTATTCTCAAAGAGTCGATTTCAAAAGCAAGAAAAAAGAATTTCTGACATCAATTAACAACCATATTGACTTTAATTTGACAGTGACATTTCGTTTTAGACACACATTTCAGATCACAATAATGTGAAATTTGCGACCGTTGTCTGGGACCAATTAAAAAATTACTTCTATGACATTTATTCGTTTCTTAACCGCTCATTGGCCGTTCACCGACTAAGGCCGATAAAGATAATTATTTCATAAATTTTGAACACGACTATATTTCGAAACTCGCTCTTAGTAACAAATCTAGTTACTTTTCCCTGTGTAAAGGCGTCTTTTCAATTCGCTTCTCCTAGTTTAAAAACAGAGATAGGGTACTAACACAAAAACATAGAAATTATTAAATTATTTTACACTACTCAATCGAGCCTATAATAAAACAGCAGTCTTCTGCGTATCCTGAATTTGTATCCCTGGAGTGGATGTTATTTTGGAACTTTCAACTGGTCCGAGTGAGCTAACTGATTCATTAGCAATAAACTGTGACTCCAAAAATAATATTCACTGACACGGACAGCAGCAAGCAAAATATCAGGTGCGTTTTAATCATCCGCTTTTGCTTTCGGAATTGTCGGTTTAGTTAGTCGTTTTAACCTGTCAGATTAAAACAAGAAAACCGACAATTCCGAAGCAGAAGCGGATGATTAAAACGCACTTATTAAAAATATTGCGCCAAGATGTAGGCAACACGTAATAAGGGTTCAAAATGGCAGAGTTTTCTATCTCCTTTTAAAAGGCACTCAGAAAGCTGCGCAGTGCGACCATTCTCCGTATAGTAAAAGAAAATCAAAGTATGTGGCATGATCAAAATCACGATGTCAGAACGAAAATGACTGCCTTCAGAAATTACGAACGGCCTATGAATCTTTGCAAGTAGTTTTTGATTTTTATTGTTTTAGGTTCTGAAGTTGTTGCAGATATTTAAATAAACCTACTAAAAAAGTGAAGATTGTGTACGATCTCACTAGTGCAATCGTACATCATACAGAGAGTTAAAAAATCGTATAAATACGATTTAAATCATACTGTTGGCAACACTGAGACAGACAGTAAACGCGGACAGCAGTGGACAGTTTGTAAATATAAATGTCAGTTAGTTTTATGTATATCGAAGAATCCTGAATTTAAATTTTAAATTTTGAGTTCATCATTGTGTTATCCTCTAGATGAACTAAGCGAAATAGTTGTGGCTGTTTTTGTGTGAAATTTGAGGACAATAATTATATTTTGTAATATTACAATAAGTCGGAGAATGTATTGCATTAGTAACATATGCCACATGAACAAATTTAACAACCTCAATGTGGCGTTCTTTAATTATCAAAGTAGGTAAGATCCAGGGCTGGTATATCTAAGGGGGTCGCGACATAGACCCAGTAAATGGATGAGGGGGTGACTGAGGCTAGGGGGGAAATAGTAGTCAGCTTAAGTTGGCAACACTTTTCTGACGTTCGTTTGAACGAGCATCGTGCATAATAATGTCAATATGGTACAAGTGGAATGAACCACTGTTTTCCTCGTAGTCCAATGTCGAATTAAAA